TGCGTGGTTGCTGGTGAGAATATGCTTAAGGTTGGCGGGTTGTCTGTTGTTAGTATTATTATTATGGTGGCTGTGTTACCTAATGATTTTTTTTTCTTTTATTTCTTTGCTCTATCTCCTCTCCCAACTCATCAGTTAGTTTCAAGAAAACAGCAAAACCATTCCCCACTGAGCCTCAGGAGGGTAAGTGTGAAGAACAAGAGAGCTATCTATATTATGTTCTATGAATATCATAGGCACTTCAGTTAACCTCCTTGATATTATCCAGCCTGGCTGCAAGAAGCAGAATCAAAGGAGACTGTTAGGGGAAACAAACAAGAAATAGAACAATGGCAAAGAAAAGGTACCACCAGAGAGAAACAGTGGGGAAGCTAATAATAAGAGAATGTCCACCTGTCTGGCTCCAACCTCAGCTAGCAAGGTTTATTTTTCTCAGGCCCACATCTGGGATCAAAGGGGATATTAAACTATTAAAGTCCCTGGCCTAGGAAGGAAGGGGGATTGAGCAGGCAGTAGAGGCTGGGGATGGATCTTTGACAGAGAGAGACAGAGAATGCTTCAGGAGCTGTCTGTCTTTCTCAGGAAAAGGGGTATCTGAGCTGAGTGGAACTTACCCAAAACTTACAAGAAAAGAATAAACTTTAGATAAGACCCAGGTGTATAGGCCTTTTGTTGTTTTATCCCTTTTCTCTGCTTGTTATGTACCTTTGGATGAATAAATAGTGCTTTGATTTTGAAGAAGCCGTTTCTGAGTCACTCACAAGCCCCTGAAGAAAAATGGTTTACAGGTGCCAAGCCCAGTTGGACCTGTTGTGTTAATGTGGTTGGGAAATAAGGGGGCTGCCACCCAGAGATCCAGTCCCAGCGTGGTTGCTCGGTGGGAAAGGTGAGAGGAAGACAGGCCTGTCACCTAAAGGGTGCACTAGAGGGACTAAAAGGGATCTAAAACACAGCTTGCCATTTAGCTGCAATAGTGCGTTTTCAGCTAAATTTTCAGAAATGGCCTAAGATGTCTCAATTTGGACACCTATTAGTGGAGAGATCCCAAATCAGTGGCCACTTTGCACCATGGTGGCCTTCGTTTTTCTAAAGCTCTTTTTGGTTCTGTGTTACGTCCTGTTGGGTGACTCCATTTTCACATCCTACCATTTCTTTTTCTTATAGACCTGAAGAAAGAGTTGCAGGACTTCAGGAAAATGTTAAGGAAGCGGTGAGTGGCCCCGGGGCAGGACCAGTGTCATAAAAGAGGCTTGTTTAGCCTTTGTGGCAGGGGTGACTATCCACCCTTCACAGACCATCCAGGCAACACTACCTGCTTCTGCTTGCTTGGAGTCACCACATGGAAAGTGCTCTGCTACTGGCTCTGGGGCTGAGGTGCCAGTGCTCTCCAGTAGGAGGCATCTACAGGGTTGTGCTGCTGATACTGTCTTGTATCACAAAGTTTGCCTTGAGGGATCTGTGTCTCTTCTGCTCCTGCATTTTAGCTCACACTGAACTTATTGGGGAAATGGCTGAAAAAGGGTACAGAGACACGTGGCATGTATCTCAACAGTAACACCTCTGGCCAATTAAGGAGCAGCATCAATGTGTCTCAGAAAGAGTCCCATCCGGTCTAGTCTTTATTTGCTGGTGGATATGACCTCCAGAAAGGGTGGGGATGAAGAATGAAAGAGGGGTAAATTAAGTTGTGGAGGGCAACAAAAATAATTAGGGGGCTGGTGCACATGACTTATGAGGAGAGGCTGAGGGAACTGGGATTGTTTAGTCTGCAGAAGAGAAGAATGAGGGGGAATTTGATAGCTGCTTTCAACTACCTGAAAGAGGGTTCCAAAGAGGATGGATCTAGACTGTTCTCATGGTACCAGATGACAGAACAAGGAATAATGGTCTCAAGTTGCAGAGGAGGAGGTTTAGGTTGGATATTAGGAAAAACTTTTTCACTAGGAGGGTGGTGAAGCACTGGAATGGGTTACCTAGGGAGGTGGTGGAATCTCCTTCCTTAGAGGTTTTTAAGGTCAGGCTTGACAAAGCCCTGGCTGGGATGATTTAGTTGGGGATTGGTCCTGCTTTGAGCAGGGGGTTGGCCTAGATGACCTCCTGAGGTCCCTTCCAACCCTGATATTCTATGATTCTATAAGAGGAAAGAGGTGCTCCCTGTTGCCTATCTAAACTCCCAGCTTTTCCTCCTGTGACTGTTCCTTAGAACTCCACTACCTGCACAGAAGAAGGAAGTTGACATGGAACAGGTCTGGCAGTTGCTGCTGAATGCCGATAGGAAGGATTATGAGAAAATCTGTTTAAAGCATGGGATTGTTGACTTCCGTGGGATGCTGAGGAAGCTTCAGCAGATGAAGAAGGACAGAGAGGACAAGCAACAACAGGTAAGACAAACCTTGAAAACCATTGGATTTCAATGAGACTTAAGCTCCTAAGGGCCTAAATCACTTTAGAAAATGGGATTTAAGCTCCTAAGTCACTTAGATGCTTTTGAACATTTTACCCAAGGGCAGCAAAACATTAGTGGCAATACAACAAAGAAGGCTCAATTCCAGCCTGACCTGTGTGTAACTCCTGTAATTTCAGGGGACTTCACTTTGCAAGGTATTGGTGGAATTGGTACCAGGGAGCCCATTTTTTAAAACCTGGGTGCTGAATTTTGTATTTGGGTGCCTGTGATGGATATTTGTGCACCTAAATGCTGATTTACACACTCAAATGTAGAATTAGGTCAACCAATACCGGCAACTATATTTGAAAATTGGACCAATGGTGTTTGCTTTGTGTATGAGTGACCAGGAGGCTGCTGGGTACTATCCAGCTTGCCTAAAGCAGCAAAAAGTGGAGGGCTAGTGCTGTTCCTTTTGCTACACTGATACAGTGGTGGGTAGAGTAGGTTCCACCCCATTTTGACAATCTAATGGAAGATCTACCAAAGCCAGCCCTATCATATACCATGTGCTTGTGTCTGTCCTTCACAGTATATCTACAGTGTCACAAACCTCAAACACATCAAGGTCAATAAGGAGGGGAATGCTACATTCCATCTAGAGATGGACCTGAAAAATCCTGAGAGCAGAATTTACCTGTACAAGGTAAGGTGGGAGATGGAGTGGCTAGATCAAGCCACGTTGAGATTACAGTGGTCACTTAGATCTGACTCATAACATGCCCGATTCACTGTGCAGCAACTGTGTGTGTAAGAATTGCTTTATAATGTGTCTCTCAATAGCAACCCCTTTGGTTGATTAAGGAGCATAATTGAAGTGGGAGTCCCATCCAGTTGTCCTCTGCTGATGGATGTGGCATGAAACCTGAAGCGCAGAAGATGAAGGGGTTACAATAAAGATTCAAGTCCATCAGGTTTCAGAGTAGCAGCCGTGTTAGTCTGTATCCGCAAAAAGAACAGGAGTACTTGTGGCACCTTAGAGACTAACAAATTTATTAGAGCATAAGCTTTCGTGGGCTACAGCCCACTTCTTCGGATGCATATAGAGTAGGAGATATATATACACACATACAGAGAGCATGAACAGGTGGGAGTTGTCTTACCAACTCTGAGAGGCCAATTAAGTAAGTGACATCATCATAGGACCTAATCACATCAGCCATACCATCAGGGGCTCGTTCACCTGCACATCTACCAACGTGATATATGCCATCATGTGCCAGCAATGCCCCTCTGCCATGTACATTGGCCAAACCGGACAGTCTCTACGCAAAAGAATTAATGGACACAAATCTGACATCAGGAATCATAATACTCAAAAACCAGTGGGAGAACACTTTAACCTCTCTGGTCATTCAATGACAGACCTGCGGGTGGCTATCTTACAACAGAAAAACTTCAAAAACAGACTCCAACGAGAGACTGCTGAGCTGGAATTGATATGCAGACTAGATACAATCAATTTAGGATTGAATAAGGACTGAGAACGGCTGAGCCATTACAAACATTGAATCTATCTCCCCTTGGAAGGATTCTCACACTTCTTATCAAACTGTCTGTACTGGGCTATCTTGATTATCACTTCAAAAGTTTTTTTTCACTTACTTAATTGGCCTCTCAGAGTTGGTAAGACAACTCCCACCTGCTCATGCTCTCTGTATGTGTGTATATATATCTCCTCAATATATGTTCCACTCTATATGCATCCGAAGAAGTGGGCTGAAGTCCATCAGGGTCCTCCATGGAAATTCAAGAACCCCACAGGCAATAAATTGATGCCTGCAGTCTCAAATCAGCAAATTCAGACTAGTCTAATTCATTTTGATGGGCATTGTGTCCCTGTCTTCTTTCAAAGAGGACTCTCAAGGAAATTAAAAATTAGACCTAGTTACAGAAGTTCACAGCCATGGTCATTAGATGGTGCAGGTGATTTATGAACAGCAGGATGATCACATAGTGCTGAGTCCTCTTCCTCATTTCCTGCTGCTACATTGCATTCAGAAACAGCTAAAAATACATTAAATATTTTCCTAATATGCCTATCCTATGTATGCAGTTTTTATAGCCGTTTTAGAGACATTTATGCACTGCCAAATGAACTCTCAGTGCAACGTGTATCAAAAAGAGATAACGGGATCTTTGGCTGTATGAACAAGGAGTGGTGAGCAGCAGTGGTGTAGCCAGCTTCTAAGAGGAGGGGGAGCAAACATAAAAAAGGCGCCCCCCCTTGGCTCCTCCTCCGACCGCTCTGCGCCCCCCCTTGGCTCCTCCTCCGGCTGCACCGCCCCTCCCCTCCCATGGCTCCTCCGGCCCTGCCGTGCCACCCCTGTGGCCCCCCCCTCGCTCCTCCGGCTGCGGCTGCCGGCCGCCATGCTGCGCTCCCCCGCTCCTCCGGCCGAGCCTGCCGCCCCCCCATGGCTGCCGGCTGTGCTGCGGGCTGCCAGCCTGCGCCCCCCCCTCGCTCCTCCGGCTGCGGCTGCCGGCTGCGCTGCAGGCCGCCAGCCTGCACCCCACCCCCCTCTGGCCGCGGCTGCCGGCCGCCAGCCTGCCCCCCACCCCCCGGTGGCCGCCGCGGCCGCCCGCCGCCCTGCCCCCCCCCCCCGCTCCGCCGGCCGTGCCCGCCGCCCCCCCATGGCTGCCGGCCGTGCTGCGGGCCGCCAGCCTGCGCCCCCCTCACTCCTCTGGCCGCTTTTGGAAAGGTGGGGGAAGCAGCTGCTTCCCCTGCACCCCGCTAGCTACGCTACTGGTGAGCAGTATACTGCTCTGTATACTGCGCACATTTTTAACAGCGAGCGTGATTAACCATTGGAACAAACTACCAAAGGAAGTGGTGGATTCTCTATTTCTTGAAGTCTTCAGATCAAGACTGCATGTCTTTCTGGAAGATATGCTTTAGCCAAACACAAGTTACTGGACTCAACACAGCGATAACTGGGGAAATTCTCCGGCCTGTGTTATAGAGGAAGTCAGACTAGATGATCTAATGGTCCCTTCTGCCCTTAAACTCTGTGAAGCTATGAAACAAATGGGTGAGGAAGTGGTTCATGCAGCCACAAATGGTAGCAGAGATTGTGAGTAAAATCAAAAATTGGAGGGCAGTTTGATCACAAGCTATTCCATCCACATTAGGAGAGAGTCTAAGCACCCTGAGCATTTACATCTTCAAAGCTACAATGAGAAACTAATTAATTAAGCCTCAAAATGCCATGTGAATCAGGCAAATAAATATTTTTTCCTCATTTAAGAGAGTTCTGTACAGGGCTCATTGTGAAGTCAGTTTTCATAAGCAATGAGCAGCAACTGCCCATTATCAGCAATAATAGGCTATAGGGCAGGGGTCGGCAACCTTTGGCATGCGGCTCGCCAGGGTAAGCACCCTGGCAGGCCGGGCCGGTTTGTTTACCTGCCGTGTGCGCAGGTTCAGCTGATCACAGCTCCCACTGGCTGCGGTTCGCCGCTCCAGGCCAATGGGGGCGAGCCACGTGCCAAAGGTTGCCGACCCCTGCTATAGGGCCAACAAACATGTGGACAAAGGTGATCCAGTGGATAGAATGTTAGGAACTGTTAGGAAAGTAGGGTTACCATACGTCCGGATTTCCCCAGACATGTCCGGCTTTTTGGTGCTCAAATCCCCATCTGGGGGGAATTTCCAAAGAGCGGACATGTCCGGGGAAATAGGGAGGCATAAACCAGGGTCTGCCCAGCATGATCCGCCAGGTCTGCAGCGCAGCCCAACTGCCCCAGCTACAATGCTCAGGCAGGGAACAGGGGGGGCTCGGGCTTCCCTCGCGGGCAGGGACCCCCCGGCCACTGGGGGACCCTTCCTGTGGCCCCGTTGCCCCACACAGCTTGGAACCCGGCGCCGTGGGAGCTGTTTCCGGCGGGGACAGACAGGTCGGGGAACGTGCTCGGCGGCAGGAAGGAAGCTGCGGCCGGGGCTGCAGGGACCCGCGCTGCCGAGTGTCTGAAGCCCCCAGCAGGCAGAGGCTGCCAGGTGAGCGGGGGAGCAGGGCAGGCGGGGGCATAGAGGCTGCAGGGACAGGGGAGTGCAGGGGCTGCAGGGCGAGGGGGAGCAGGGCAGGCAGGGGCAGGGGGATGCAGGGGCTGCAGGGCGAGTGGGGAGCAGGGGTCTCAGAGGCTGCAGGGGCGGGGGGTGCAGGGGCTGCAGGGCGAATGAGGAGCAGGGGGGTCACAGAGGCTGCAGGGGCGGGGGGGTGCAGGGGCAGGGCAGGCGGGGGGCGCAGAGGCTGCAGGGGCAGGAGGGTGCAAGGGCTGCAGGGCGAGTGGGGAGCACGGGTCACAGAGGCTGCAGGGGCAGGGGGTGCAGGGGCTGCAGGGCGAGTTGGGAGCAGGGGTCACAGAGGCTGCAGGGGCGGGGGGGTGCAGGGGCTGCAGGGCGAGTGAGGAGCAGGGGTCACAGAGGCTGCAGGGGCAGGGCAGGCGGGGGGCACAGAGGCTGTAGGGCGAGTGGGGAGCAGGGGTCACAGAGGCTGCAGGGGCGGGGGGTGCAGGGGCTGCAGGGTGAGTGGGGAGCAGGGGTCACAGAGGCTGCAGGGGCGGGGGGGGCTGCAGGGCGAGTAGGGAGCAGGTAAGCACTTAGCAACCCCCAACCAAGATCAGAGCAGGAGGGAGGAGGGGGAATGCAGGTTGCTCAGAGGAGGGGGCAGAGTTGGGGCAGGGGCTTTGGGGAAGGGGCTGGGCGGAGTTGGGGCGGGGCCGGGGGTGGGGAAGGGGCAGAGTTGGGGCAGGGCCAGGCCCCCGTGAAGTGTCCTCTTTTTTCAGTGTTGAAATATGGTAACCCTAAGGAAAGGGACAGATAATAAGAGTAAATATCATAATGCCACTATATAAATCCATGGTACACCCACACCTTGAGTACTGTGTGAAGTTCTGCTTACCCCATCTCAAAAAAGATTTATTAGAAATGGAAAAGGTACAGAGAAGAACAACAAAAATGATTAAGGATATGGAACAGCTTCCATATGAGAAGAGATTAAAAAGACTGGGACTATTCAGTTTGGAAAAGAGACAGCTAAGGAGGGATATGATAGAGGTCTATAGAATCATGAATGGTGTTGAGAAAGTGACTAGGGAAGTGTTATTTACCCCTTCACATAACACAAGAACCAGGGGTCACTCAATGAAATTAATAGGCAGCCAGTTTAAAATAAACAAAAGGAAGTACTTCTTCACACAACGAACAGTCAACTGGTGGAACTCATTGCCAAGGGATGTGTGAAGGCCAAAACTATACTGGATTCAAAAAAGAATTAGATAAGTTCCTGGAGGATAGGTCCATCAGTGGCTATTAGCCAAGATGGTCAGGGATGCAACACCATGTTCTGGATGTTCATAAGCCTCTGACTGCCAGATGCTGGAAGTGGACAACAGGGGATGGATCACTTGATGATTGCCCTCTTCTATTCATTCCCTTTGAAACATTAGCCACTGTTGGAAGACAGGATACTGTGCTAGATGAACCATTGCTCTGACCCAACATGGCCATTCTTATGTTCTTAGCCATCCCTGGTATAACTCATTGACATCAATGAGTTGTACCAGGGATGAATTTGGCGTAATGTGTTTGAAGGGATTTGGATCTCTGGGGCTTCCGTATGCTAGAAATTGAGTGTTTCACACTTAACATATTGCATTTAGGAATTCAGGTAGTCTTGGGTTGGTGCTTTAAACCCATTTAATGTCTTTCTATTTAAACAAGTGCATTGCTCTAATTCAGCAAATTGCCTCTTTTCTCCCTTTAGGATGGCCAGCTGATCAATTATGGATTCAACGATGACAAAGTAAAGCACTGTCTAAGGCAGGCAGGGAAAAAGTACAACTTCACCATCAACCACCTGCAGCTGGAAGATGCCGGCGTGTACCAGATCAAAGTGGAGGATGTGGATGTCTTCTCAACTGAGTTAGAAACTGACTGTAGGGACCTGAGCTTTATAAACATGCACTTTGCCAGGATGTGTTAAGAACACATTTCAGATGGGAAATCTAATCTGGGACTAAATTCCAAACTCATCAGTGGAAACCAATAGCCACTGAAGTCTATGCAGGCAAAGGCTCTTACTCTCTAATAATACACTTGTGACAAAGAGAGAAAGGGTAGGAAAGGTGGTCACGTGGATGGGGCACTGGATTAGGATGAATAGGTTCAATTCTCAGTTCAGCACAGACTTCTTATATGACTTTGGGTTTGACACTTAATTTACCCTGTGCCTCAATTCCCCTTCTGTAAAATGAGGATAATAATCCCCTTCCTCAAAGGAGTGTTGTAAGGCTAAAAGTCCATGAATGATTGTGACCTGCTCACACACCACAGTGATGAGGTATAGGTACCTAGTTAGATAAAAAAACAAATATATTCCTGTACCGCTCAGAAGTAGACTAAGGTGCACATCTCAGGGTAGTTGTTCTTTCTGCCTGAGCAAAAGCTCACTGACTTCAAATTATTTTTCTTTCCTTCTTTCTTCTTTCATCCATCCATCCACTTTTAGTCTTGGTGAGTCAAGCAACCCCTTCACCCACACTTTCCTGACAATGGGCCTCAATCCTAACTTGGAGAGACCACCTCTTGGGGGTCTCAACTGAGTCCTTATGAGGGAATGGGCACTATTCTACCCTGGTCATTGGATGCAGAAGTGGGCTGTTCCTTTTTGGTCCTTGTAAGGGAAATGAGCCATCCCGTCCAAGACTTGCAGAGGGACTGGAGGTGGCAGCTGTCCCACTGTAACTTTCCATAGTGGCCTCCAATAGGAGGGAAACAACATTATTTTGCTTCAAGATACGTTTTGTATATCTCCTGTATAAAATATAATAGAAGGGAGGGTTGTTTTGGGGGGCATGTAACACACTCTTCCCACAGCCTCCCAGAGTGTAGGAGACTTCCCTAGGCTCCAGCATAGCTTTTCTCCCTGAAAGACCTGAGCTGCCTGTCACGGCAAATATGTTACATGACTAATAGCCCTTGATTTGCCATTGCAGCCATTCCTGTGGGATTCCGACACTTGCTTAGTGAAGTGCACTGCCATGAGCAAGGAAATGCCATCTTTGAATGCAGCCTATACAGCCCCTGCTATGATGCTGTGTGGCTGTATAGAAAACATCCCATTGAGGAGAGTGACAAGTACAAAATCTCCATCTCTCCTGATGGCCTGACCCACCAGCTGGTGATTAAAAACACACAGCTCACTGACGAAGGGACTTACACCCTCGATATCAGAATCTGCTCCTCTAGTGCATGGCTTGAGGTGGAACGTGAGTAACACTCTATTCTTCCCTTAGCTTCAGTTTTGCTTTCTTATGGTGGACCTAACTTTGTCACCAGGTGGCCTCCCGTTAGACATGGATTGCTCTCAGGAGTTGATTGTTAGGCTGGGGGCTCTGGAGTGCTATCTGGGAAAGTTGGAAGCAGATTAGAAAGTAACTTCAGCCTTCCTCTTCAGTAGGACTATGGCGATCAGAGAATAACTCCCCTTCTTATGAACACTGACAAAACCTGCAAGCTCTCATTTTCCCTATTGCCATAAGACTCATTTATTACAATGTAGTGGATTCTCCATCACTTAGAGACCTTAAATCAAGACTGGATCTCTCTTAAAAATACACCTCAAATTCACTACAAGATAGGAACTTGATGAAGAAATTACAGGGTGAAAATCTCTGGCCTGGGTTACACAATAGATCAGACAAGATGATGACAATTATCCTTTCTGACCTAAAAATCTACTATTCCTATCCAAGTGCTGCTATTTCTAATGTAGGGTCCTCCTAATTAGGATATCCAAATCAACTATCTGTCGTCTTCATTAAGTTGCTGACCTTCAACCCAACTGGGACCAAATGAGGAAACTTGAACCCCCAGATCTCTGGCCTGTTAACCATATTTACAATTGGTAGTGTACATCCTTATTTAACTCACCTAAGGAACAACTAAAATTTAGGCAAATTTGAACCTATATATAGGACTGGAGTATTTACTCCTTGGGTGGGCGATTTAGAGGGACAGGGCCCCAAACCTGCAGTTCAACTAGTAGGCCCTGTGCTTTGGAGTATGGTGGGGATTGTTAGCCACTGGGTACGTGATCTTTTTGGTGAATGCAGGAGAGGGCTAGGTACAAGAGAGACGTTGCCTTTGAGTCCATGGTATCCCCTCAACCTCTCATGACAGGAACTGTGGGGTTGACTGATTCTTCCTAATCTGGTAGGCTCAGTTACCTAGTTAGAGCCAGGCCTCTTCAAGGTTTAAAGCTACCTCAGGATACCTGGATAGTGTTTTCAGCTATTTTACTTAGACCTCCCTCAAAGCAGCTCATCTTGTTGAGTGATGATGGACAAACTCCTCCAGCAGAGGGCCAGGGGTTAGTCTGCAGGGAAGGCTTCCTGTTAAACTTGCCATAGATACACATTCAGCCAGAAGTGGCCTTTCGCTCCAGTCCCATTATACCTCTAGGCTGGAGCTACTGAGACAGGGCCTCCCTAAAATGTCTTTAGGATCAATCGGGTTTGCTGTCAACCCCCATGTGGCCTAAGATGGCTGCTAGATATTGCTGGTATCCTCTGGGTGTCTCTTGGTCAACACTGATCTCTGTGAGTCTATGCTGGCCCACTATCCTTGGCTGCTGGCTCCATGCAAACTCCTCTAAGAGGCCTCTGATAGTCTCCATTTACTGGCTGTCCCACTGGTGTGTTTAGACTCCCCTGTGTAAGTCCCCTGAGGAGGTCTCTGCTGCTCAGCAGAGGGGAGTTGGGAGGGCTGGGTGTGGAATGTGGGGAGGAGCATTAAATGTTCGTCTCCAACTGCCATAACAGACTTTCTTGTTTACTTCCAACAGGCCCTTTTTCCTCTCAGCAACAGCTATCTCTGTACCTCTGAAAACCACAGCATCCCCCAGCGGATGAAAAGCTAGATGGGGCTTTGGGTCTGCCCATCCTCAGGCTAAACACCGCATCACCCCAAAAATAAAATGCTGAGTGACTATCACTCTCAGGGCCTTCCACTCTTCCCGTGGTGCAGACTAATCTGAATCTGATGAGCATCAGAGCACATATGAAAATGGGAGGGAATTGTGATTGTGAGGGTATGGCATTGTTTGAAGCGGAGGTTATATAAGTTTTGTCAGCGGTGCCTAGTGCATATAAGTTAGGCACCCTTTTTATGCATTTAACTAAATGAGTAAATAAAAGCTGGGTGGGTAAAATAATTGAAACAAAACTCTGTAAACTACCATTTCATTTTGAAATTTACAAAATGGAGCTGCAAAAGTTGCACTGTCTTTCATGTCAGCTTTAAGTCCCTTTTTGGAGTGAGAACAGACCCATTTCTACTTAAAATGTTGCTTTTTGACTGAGAAACATAAAATTCTGACTGAAACTTCCATTGGAAACATGCAAGAGTTTTATATATTCTGGGTGTGAAAATGTCCGTTATGCAAAAAATTAAATTTCTGTATTGTGAAATGTCCTGGAATGAAATCATAAAAATCGTGGTGCAAAACTTAATGCTCTCATTTCCACCCCTTTCATACATTTCTCATTACAATGGCATGATATTTCATTTGGTGGGTGCAGCGTTATGTGAGATTTTTATTCACTGTTTTCCTATTGCTTTTGTCTTTTCTTTCCTATGAATGGCTTCTTCTCCAATCAACAAACAATGTATCTACAATGCAGCTGCCAGAGGAAAGAGCAGACAAACTGAAGGAGATGGAACAGATACAAATGGATGGCAGACAGATAAGTCCATATTGCCAGATGAAGAACGTGCCAAGGAACTTCTACAGGGAGAAGGCCTTGGGAATCAAAAGCACCTTAAAAGCACCGGAACGGGCAAAGATGGCCAGTATGGAAGTAACCAAGATGGTAGTGGAGAACTTTATGGCTCCTCAATGGATGTTGATTGGCGACATGGATCTTTGGGACAAGATGGGCTAACTGGAAGGGTAGGGAAGGATGGAAGGATGGAGAAAAGCCAGTTTTCTGGAGCAGGGACAGATGGAGGTTCAGTGGCAAATGGGAATAAATTTGGTTTGGCTAGTAATGAAGGTGGACGTGTGGGAAAGATTCATGGCCAGGACTTGAAGTTAGGTGGAGCTGGTATGGGTGGTGCAATAGAAGAAGGGGATCTGTGTTCTTTTTATGGTGAGGATTCTATGCTGGGTGGAGCTGGTTCTGGTGGTGGATTAGGGAGAGCAGGAGCGTTGGGTTCTTTAGGTGGTAGAGATTCCATGCTTGGTGGTGCTGGTGCTAGGTTAGGAGGCTCAGGAGAGTTGGGATCTCTCCATGGCATGGAAGGCGGTGCTGACACTGGTGGTGCTGGATTAGGAGGAGCAGGGAGTATAGGATCCCTCTATGGCAAGGATGGTATGCTAGGGGGAGCTGGTGGTTCTGGCACTGGCCTTGGTGGTACAGGGGATGCAGGCACCCTCTATGGCAAGGATGTTATGCTATGTGGAGCCAGTGTTGGTATTGGACTAGATGGTGCTGGAAACATGGGTGCTTTTGGTGACAGAGATGCTATACTAGGTGCATCTGATGTTGGTGGTGCTGGCTCAGGTGATGCAGGGGGCACAAGCTTCCTCTTTGGTAAGGATGGCATGCTAGGGGGAGCTGGTGGTTCTGGTGCTGGACTAGGTGGTGCAGGGGGCATGGGTTCTCTCTATGGTAAGGATGGCATGCTAGGGGGAGCTGGTGCTGGTCTTGCTGGTCTAGGTGGTGCAGAAGGTGCAGGCTCCCTCTATAGCAAGGATGTTATGCTAGGTGGAGCTGGTGTTGGTATTGGACTAGATGGTGCTGGAGGCATGGGTGCACCTGGTGGCAGATCTGCTATACTAGGTGCATTTGATGTTGGTGGTGCTGGCTCAGGTGGTGCAGGGAGCATGGGCTCTCTCTGTGGTAAGGATGGTATGAAAGGTGGAACCAGTGCTGGATCAACAGGTGCAGGAGGCATAAGGTCTTTTTATGATAAGGATGATATGCTTGCTGGGGCTGGTGCCCGTGATGCTGGTCTAGGTGATGCATGTGGCATGAAGTCTCCTTATGGTAAGGATGGTATGAGAGGTGCAGTTGGGGCTGTGGCTGGTGGAGATGAGGCTGAGATTGGTGGTGCTAGTGCTGGTTTAGGTGATGCAGGAGGATTTAGGTCTCCCTATGGTAAGGATGATATGCTAGGTGGAGATGGGGCTGGTACTGGTGTTGGTGGTGATGATTTAGGTAGTCCAGGGGCCATGGAGTCTCTCTATGGTAATGATGGTATGCTAGGTGGAGCAGGTGCGGCTGGGGCTGGTAGTGGTTTTGGTGGTGCAGAGGGCATGGTGTCTCTCTATGGTAAGAATGGAATGATAGGTGGAGCTGGCTCCGGGGCTGTTGGTTTTGGTGCTGGTGTAAGTAGCTCAGGGAGGATGGGAACTCTTTCTGGCAAGGATGCTATACCTGGTGGAGCTGATGCTGGATTAGGAGGAGCAGGGGATCTGACGGGTTCTCTCTATGGCAAGAATGGTATGCACAGTGCTGGTCTAGGTGATTCAAGGGGTGAGGGCTATCTCTGTGGTAAGGATGGTATGCTAGGTGGAGCTGGTACTGGTCTAGATAGTGCAGGAAGAATGGGCTCTCTCTATGGTAAGGATCCGATTTTAGGTGGACATGGTGTTGGTGGTGCTGGTGCTGGATTAGCAGGTACAGGAAGCATGGGTTCTCTCTCTGGCAAGGATGCTATGCTAGGTAGAGCTGGTGCTGGACGTGGACTAGATGGTGCTGGGGTCAGAGATGCTATGCTAGGGGGAGCTGGCGCTGGGATTGGTGCTGGCTTAGGTGGTGCAGGTTCTTGCTATGGCAAAGATGGCATGTTAGGTGGAGCTGGTGCTGGTGTTGCAGGTGGAATGGGTGTTGATGGCAAGGATTCTATGCTAAGTGGAGCAGCAGGTGCAGGAGGCATAGGGTCTCTCTATGGTAAGAATGGTAAGGTAAGTGGAGCTGGGCCTGGTGCTGGTCTAAGTGGTGCAGAGGGCATGGAGTCTTTCTATGATAAGGATGGTATGTTTGGTGGCACTAGTGCTGGTGCTGGAGTAGGTGGGGCAGGTGTGTTGGATTCCATACATGGCAAAGGTTTAGTGCTAGGTGGGGCAGGACCTGGTACTGGTGGTGAATTCATAGGAGCTTGGGGCACGGGTTCACTTGACAGCAGAAATTCTATCTTAGATGGAGCAGTTGCCAGTGGTGGTAATAGTGGTTTAGGACACTTGGGTTCCCTTCATGGCAGGGATCCTGCCCTTGGTGGAGCAGCTGTTGGTGCAGGAGGTAAATTACAGGATGGCTCCATTGATGGGAGAATGCCAGGTGTTCATGGTGAAGGGTCACTAGGTTATGATCAGATGTCAGGCTATCATGGTGGAGTCCAGGCTGATGCCAGAAGAGGACAGATGCGAGGCCTTAATGCCAGGGGACTAAGTGCAGAAGAAACCTTGAAAAACAGAGACTGGAAAAGAAGAGGAGGTTTTCTCCAAGATGAAGCAAGAGGTATTCATTTTTCATTGATGGCTTTTATAGTGCTATTGCTCTAGTATTTTAGAGAAGAAGGATAATCTTGTGGTTGAGTCCTAGGCCTGAGAACTTGGAGGCTTTCTGTTCTATCTGTAAAAAGCAACAAAGAGTCCTGTGGCACCTGTGACCAAGTTCCTCCTCTACCTTGGTGGGTCCTGCGCTTATTGGCAGATTTGCTCGCTTCACAGATTCACCCTGTGGGTCAGGAAACAGTCCAGAGACCTTCCCCTCTGGTAGAAGCAATAGTCCAGGTCAATTCCACCTGTGTTTGATCAGGAGTTGGGAGGTATGGGGGGAACCTGGGCCCGCCCTCTACTCCGGGTTCCAGCCCAGGGCCCTGTGGACTGCAGCTGTTTAGAGTGCCTCGTGGTACAGTTGCACGACACCTACAACTCCCTGGGCTACTTCCCCATGGCCTCCTCCCAACACCTTCTTTGTCCTCACCACCGGACCTTCCTCCTGATGTCTGATAACGCTTGTACTTCTCAGTCCTCCAGCAGTACGCCTACTCACTCTCAGTTTCTTGCACACCTCTTGCTCCCAGTTCCTCACACACACTTCCTGCTCCCTGGCTCCCCCTGGCTTGACTGGAGTGAGCCCTTTTATAGCATCAGAGGGGCCTTAATTAGAGTCAGGTGCTTAACTGCCTCACCTGACTCTTAGCAGGTTAATTGGAGTCAGGTGGTCTATTAGCCTGGCGCAGCCCCTGCTCTGGTCACTCAGGGAACAGAAAACTACTTATCCAGTGGCCAGTATATCTCCCTTCTGCTACTCTGCTGTTCCCAGCTGGTCTGGGTCTATCACACACCTTATAGACTAACAGACGTATTGGAGCATAAGCTTTTGTGGGTGAATACCCACTTCGTCAGATGAATTGGGTATTCACCCACGAAAGCTTATGCTCCAATACGTCTGTTAGTTTATAAGGTGCCACAGGACTCTTTGTCGCTTTTTACAGATCCACACTAACATGGCTACCCCTCTGATACTTGTTCTATCTGTGACTGTGCCACAAATTTCCTTTGTGATCCTTTCCTTTGTAAATCACAGGCCCAGATTTTTAAAAGTGGTCACTGATTTTGGGTTTCTCCTGTTTTGGGTGCCTAACTTGGATCTGATTTACAGAAGTGCTGATGCTCCCAACTTGTAGCTGAAGTCGATGGGAGCTCCATGTGCTCAACACCTCTGGAAGGAGAGAGTTGAAAATGTTTGTCTCAGCTTCCATATCTTTAAATGGAGATAGTAACTTCACCACTTCCAGGAGGTTGGGAAGAGATTTATAATTGTCTGTTAAAGTGCCTTGAGATCCTTGCAATAGAAATGGTATATATTAATGATAGCTGTTAGAATTATTGTGAGATCTCTCTGGAACCCCCCTCTAAGCCCTTCTAACTCCTTCCTATGAAATAAACAGACTAAAAGCACACAAGGAATAGACATTATCCAATTAACAAAAAAATTAGTTTCCATATCTTTTCAAGTAAGGTATCCATATTTCTTTGCCATCTCCCAATAGTTCAAAACAGACCCTTTTACTTTATTGTTTCTAATAATGTCCAGTGCAAATATCTCCATTTTTCAACAGCCCTGAGACCCATTCAGTGCCAAATTTTCTGTTATATGAAAATGCACATAAAATCCAACCCAGAAAATTCTTACTCATGTTAGTTGGCCTTATCTGACTAACACCACTGAAGTCAATGAGGCTGCTCATGAGAATAAAGACTACTTAACTGAGTATGGATCAGACCTATAATGCCAGATAGTTCTGGTTTTGTGCTGAGTTTCTTATGGGAATGAGGGACTGGGATATGTGTGCCCACTTAAATACAACACACTTGAAATCAAGCTTGTAGTGTATCTACTTGTCCATTATATTGACTTGACTTGCATGCAGAATGTTGGCTGATCCTCAGTTGATGTATATCAGCATGACCCCAATTAAGTCAGTGTCAGTTTACAACATCTGAGGATCCGGCCCAGTAGTATTTTGGGATTATTACTGTAGAAGTTCTTTTTATAAGAGTGGTGCCTGTTCTTCCCATCTGCACAGGCATTTTTGTGCTCAGATGTTACTCCCCCAGTATGTTCTCTTGTGTAACAAATGGTCAGTGCATTTCCCATGTGGGCTGTTTTCCTCTCTGTATGTTCAGAATCACATTGCCATTTCGACAAAGGTTTGTCTGATGTCAGTGCCCAGAAAGGGAAACCCGATGTGCTGTCTTGCAGCCTCAGTAACGATCAGGTGGAGGGAATCTGGTTTAAAGATGAATTCAAGGTAAGGATGCAATAGCTCACTGTTTTCCTGGGACACCAAAGACTTATTTCACTCGCTGGCTACAACTTTCATGCGATATTATGGCAAGGTGTTTCCTCATTCTGCCCCACTTTCTTGTGGCTGAGAGTCAGGGTCCTGTGCGGTGGTGCCCCAGTTTCCACTGTAAGGGAAGGCAGCAGACTAGTCTCCCTGGCCACTGAGTCTGACCTGTGTGGGATTGCACCCGAGCCTGTTTGGCTCAAGCCTCCCAAGGGGAATTGGGCAGGGTTCCTCCCCAATCCCACCGCAGGGCCATTTGCATTCTCACATCTACACTAGGAGGGTATTGTGAGGTTTTTTTCCATCTCATTTTCCTTGACATGGGCAGGGAAGGGAAGAGCCTCCTTTCTTCTCCCCACTACTGATTATTTAGAATGCATATACGTATTAGGTGCATTCAGAAACACAAAGAAAACCAAGGTGCCTTCTCCAAGGAACTTCAGGTGTGGTGTGGACCATCCACAGCGCTCATTGAAATCAATGCTCAGCACCACTTAAGATCAGACAAATTAGATGCAATGTCTCAATACAATGCAGGAGAATGGTTTGGGTCACAAGGCCACTGAGGATGAGATTGCAGTAGTCCAGATGAGAAATGACCCAGGCATGGAGCCAGGTTTTAGGAGTAGGGATGGAGAGGAATGGAGACAGCTTAATATATTAGGGCCTGATCCAAAGCCCACTGAGGTCAATGGAAAGACGCACATTGACTTTAATGGACTTCGGATCAGGCCCTTAGTAGGGCATATATTAGTCCAACAGTGCTTATATGAAGGGTTACCAGTTAAATAATCAAAGAATATCATAGTAATTAAGCAATAGTGACCAAGACATAGGATCTTACCTGGGGATGAATAATGAGCTATGGTGGACACAGCTGAGGAAATGCCCTGTTTTGAGCTGCTTGTTGCTACAGAGGATCTGTGCTACACCCCAGCTTTTAGAAAATCTTTTGGAGTAACCCAGTCAGTGTGGCAGACCTCCAAGGAGTCCCACTTGTCCTTCAGGGTAGGCCCTGCTGCCTCACCACCTCCTAGATTGGAGCCTCTGGGTTTCAGCACTCCTTTTTCATACCATGAGCTCTCCTCAGCGAGTCCCACTGAAGTGGACTCCTGGTTAGAGACTTGTACACACTTCAGGAGCTAATGCACCCCAGCAAGTATTTGTAGTGACACCCAAGCAGAGTTTTCAAAACAGAGCAGGATATATTGGTCAACTGGAACACAGCACTGGAAGTCCTTAAGTTAGCGTAGAGAAACGAAGGTTAAAGCATAGTCCATTCTAGGCAGGCCAGAGTAATTCACTAGCCAAGCTGTAGTTAACTCCCTTTTCAGGCTCTGTTGACTTCCTTAGTCAGTCCCAGTAGAGAGCTTCCAGCCTCTTCCAGAAACCAACTCTTTATTCCCTTTTGGTCACCTCCCAGTCCTTTGTTTTCCAGATAAGTCCATGCTGAGTTCAAACCCAGGGGTGAGAGGTGGGGGAAAACTATTTCCTCTGGGTTGTTGATTGCTAGGTGTCAGTGATATGGCCTTTGGGGTTTTCTATGTTCTTCTCAGATTTTCCATTGATAAGGGTTGACCTTGACCAGTCCTTCTAATGACCCATTCAGTCCACTCAGACAGCTAAGTGGCATACCCCCCACATATCTCTTTGTCTGCCCCAATAGCAAACTTAATCATTTTTCTCCCACTGGGTAGAAAAGCTATGTAGGGGGGAAACTGAGGCACACACAAGCATCATAAAAATACTACAGAAAATTCCCACTTTGTCACACCTGGATTTTGTATTCAGTTTCATTTGATACATTGAGCATTCTTACTTCCCAAGTCCAGTTCCCTTTGTCTCCCAATTAAAAAAAATCAAATGTTTCCCTGTATCTTGTGTGAATATTTTGAACTGCACTTGATAATCCAAATAGTTTGAAATTTTGCACTTCCATTGTATTTGGCTGCTATGTTTGGTGTGCTACCCGGCTTCCAGGAGAAAAGACTGCAAGCAAGCTAAAAAGACCACAATATTTGCTTTGGCTAGGCAGAAAAATTAGCAGGTTTGTGATATCATAGAATCATAGAATATCAGAGTTGGAAGGGACCTCAGGAGGTCATGTAGTCCAACCCCCTGCTCAAAGCAGGACCAATCCCCAACTAAATCATTCCAGCCAGGGCTTTGTCAAGCCTGACCTTAAAAACTCTAAGGAAGGAGATTCCACCACCTCCGTAGGTAACCCATTCCAGTGCTTCACCACCCTCCTAGTGAAAAAGTTTTTCCTAATATCCAACCTAAACCTCCCCCACTTCAACTTGAGACCATTACTCCTTGTTTGTCATCTGGTACCACTGAGAACAGTCTAGATCCATCCTCTTTGGAACCCCCTTTCAGGTAGTTGAAAGCTGCTATCAAATCCCCCCTCATTCGTCTCTTCTGCAGACTAAATAATCCCAGTTCCCTCAGCCTCTCCTCATAAGTCATGTGCTCCAGCCCCCTAATCATTTTTGTTGCCCTCCGCTGGACTTTTTCCAATTTTTCCACATCCTTCTTGTAGTGTGGGGCCCAAAACTGGACACAGTACTCCAGATGAGGCCTCACCAATGTCGAATAGAGGGGAATGATCACGTCCCTCGATCTGCTGGCAATGCCCCTACTTATACAGCCCAAAATGCCATTAGCCTTCTTGGCAACAAGGGCACACTGTTGACTCATATCCAGCTTCTCATCCACTGTAACCCCTAGGTCCTTTTCTGCAGAACTCCTGCCTAGCCAGTCGGTCCTTAGTCTGTAGCAGTGCATGGGATTCTTCTGTCCTAAGTGCAGGACTCTGCACTTATCCTTGTTGAACCTCATCAGGTTTCTTTTGGCCCAATACTCTAATTTGTCTAGGTCCCTCTTATCCTATCCCTACCCTCCAGCGTATCTACCATTCCTCCCAGTTTAGTGTCATCTGCAAACTTGCTGAGAGTGCAGTCCACGCCATCCTCCAGATCATTAATGAAGATATTGAACAAAACTGGCCCAGGACCGACCCTTGGGGCACTCCACTTGATACCGGCTGCCAACTAGACATGGAGCCATTGATCACTACCCGTTGAGCCCGACGATCTAGCCAGCTTTCTATCCACCTTATAGTTCATTCATCCAGCCCATACTTCTTTAATTTGCCGGCAAGAATACTATGGAAGACCGTATCAAAAGCTTTGCTAAAGTCAAGGAATAACACATCCACTGCTTTCCCCTCATCCACAGACCCAGTTATCTCCTCATAGAAGGCAATTAGGTTAGTCAGGCATGACTTGCCCTTGGTGAATCCATGCTGACTGTTCCTGATCACTTTCCTCTCCTCGAAGTGCTTCAGAATTGATTCCTTGAGGACCTGCTCCATGATTTTTCCAGGGACTGAGGTGAGGCTGACTGGCCTGTAGTTCCCTGGATCCTCCTCCTTCACTTTTTTTAAAGATGGGCACTACAATAGCCTTTTTCCAGACACCCGGGACCTCCCCCGATCGCCATGAGTTTTCAAAGATAATGGCCAATGGCTCTGCAATCACATCCACCAACTCCTTTAGCACCCTCGGATGCAGCGCATCCGGCCCCATGGATTTGTGCTCATCCAGCTTTTCTAAATAGTCCTGAATATCTGTGGGGGTGTTTTATAGAGATGAATTTTCCATTCAAATTTTTTTTGATGGAAAATGACAGTTCAACTGAAGGGACATTTTCACCAAAAAAAAATAATAAATAAAATCAATTTTCATCAAAAATGTTTGGATTTTCAGTTTTCTGAAGAAAATGTGTTCAACATTTTTAATGGAAAATGATTTTTTTTAATTAAAAATGTTGACCAAATTTTCTTTTCCTCCCCCTCCCAAAAAAATCCAAATTTTTTTGATGAAAAGGGGTGTGTGAAAATTTCCCTTCAGTTGAACAGTCATTTTCCAAACAGCTCTAGTGTGTTATCTTCTTTTGAATAACCATATTGATAAACCAGAAAGTCCCATCTGACATTTGTCCTGCCAAACTATTTGATAGTTCCTGTAAAGAAAAAATGTCTCTCTGTCCTTTACACAGCAGCTAACAGGCCTGGATGAAGTCTCTTCTGAAAAATATGGCCTGGTCCACAAACTGATAGACACAGTAGAAGATAGTCATGCTGGAAAATACAAGTTTGAAGCCGAAGGTGTCAAAACTGAAGCATCTATTTTGGTTGAAGGCAAGTCTGTTCAAATTGCTTCATTGCCTAGATGTTAAAAAGGCAGTATGTATGCTCATATTCCTAATGCAATGTATTAGCCTGCATGTGTTTGAAATGTAATGTAGAGTTTCTCAAACTGGGGTCCACGGACCCCTGGGGGTCCACAAGGGTACTCCAGGGGGCAGGGCCATCCTTAAGATTTATGGTGCCCTACGTAGTAGTATTAAACAGGTGCCCCTATGCCCGACGGCAGCCTAGGCTCACAGTCTGGGGGGTGGGGGGCAGGGGGAGTGAGGGAGCAAAGGATAGCGAGATGCCCGGTCTGCCTCACTGTGGCAGAGAGTCACAGTTCCCCGCAGAGACCCACGTACCCTCTACCTCATGCAGAATGGATATGGAGAAGGTACCTAATAAAAGCACTAAATTTGGGAATAAAAAATGTCAGTCACAGGTTTTTTGATATAGTTTGTCAGAGATTTATTTGCAAAAACTTTGTAGTAAGGGTGAGTCAGCTGTCCTGCGGAATACAACATTAAATATAATGGAATACATGATGCAGCTCTTCTCTGTTTTACATTTTCTTAATCAGTATTTCTAAGCCAATTTTATATTTTAAATGTACTCTTAAGTCTTCATAAAGTAATCATTCCAGATTACTACATATTTAACTCACTGAAACAAAGACATTATTTTAAATTATCAGTCACAGAGGTTTAGTGTGTCATTGCTTTTAGAAAAAGGGAACACTAATTTACTTTGTGTGATCGCCATAACAATAGACATGTATATGAAATTTCAGCAACTTTATAAAATATGTTTCCAAAGATTTTAGGCATAACAAAGGATTTTGTATCTTACTAAGGTACTGATTTTGCTGGAGGGTTCTTGTAAAACTAGTTCATCAGATAGTCAGAAGTAAAGAAAGGGAAACTCCAGCTATCTGGAAGGAAAGAGGTGTTGTCCCTTTAAGGGCTCTCTTCAGCGGCAGGGAGGGGTGTATGAAGGGAGAAAGGGATGGACAGGAAGACTTTAGAAGCAAGGTTTTTTTTACTATAGTAATTAAAATTAAAATGTGTATTTTAGATAAGGGAGGTCTTTTGAAGGATTTATTTAAAAAACTGTATATCTGAAGATCTAAGCATTTAAGGCTAAAGATGATTGTGCATCTAAAAATCTATGCAAGGATTTTTTAGAGATGTGATTTTATAATCTTCACCAATGAAATATTTTTAAAGTAAATTTTAAACTAAGGTCCTGTAGACTAACATGTTCTGAGTAAATATTACAGTAATGAACAACTGTTTTTGTCAGTAAATTCAGAAAGTGACAATATATACCTGGGGTTTGGCAAATGCCTGTTAATTGGCTTCATTACCACTTGAATGGCTCTTTAACGGTTTCAATGATGTGCTAATAGGCCTGGCAGGCTGGAAGACTTTTTCACTTTTAAGTTACTAGATCCCCTCCGGAGTAAGAGTCACCAGGCTGCAGCAACCAGCTGTGGGAGCCTGGAAGAGCCAGGAGGGTGGACACTAAGGCCTGGTCTACACTAGGCGTTTATGTCGAATTTAGCACCGTTAAATCGAATTAACCCTGCACCCGTCCACACCACGAGGCTATTTAGTTCGACATAGAGCTCTCTTTAAATCGATTTCTGTAATCCTCCCCAACGAGAGGAGTAGCGCTAAATTCGAAATGGCCATATCGAATTAGGCTAGGTGTGGATGGAAATCGACGCTAATAGCTCCGGGAGCTATCCCACAGTGCACCACTCTGTTGACGCCCTGGACAGCAGTCCGAGCTCGGATGCTCTGACCAGCCACACCCCGGGAAAATTTGAATTCCTTTTCCTGTCTGGGCAGTTTGAATCTCATTTCCTGCGTGGCGAGCTCAGCAGCAGTGGCAATGATGCAGAGCTCTCCAGCAGAGATGGCCGTGCAATCCCAGACTAGAAAGAGGGCCCCAGCATGGACTGATCGGGAAGTCTTGGATCTCATCGCTGTGTGGGGAGATGAGTCCGTGCTTGCCGAGCTGCGCTCCAAAAGACGGAATGCAAAGATCTACGAGAAGATCTCTAAAGCCATGGCAGAGAGAGGATACAGCCGGGATGCAACGCAGTGCCGCGTGAAAATCAAGGAGCTGAGACAAGGCTACCAGAAGACCAAAGAGGCAAACGGACGCTCCGGATCCCAGCCCCACACATCCCGTTTCTACGAGGCACTGCATTCCATCCTAGGTGCGGCCGCCACCACTACCCCACCAGTGACCGTGGACTCTGAGGATGGGATATTGTCCTCGGCCGGTTCCTCTTCGGACATGTTAGCGGACGGGGAAGATGAAGAAGGAGATGAGGAGGACGATGCAGTCGACAGCGCTGGCACCCCTGATTTCCCCGACAGCCAGGAGCTCTTCATCACCCTCACAGAGATCCCCTACCAACCGTCCCCATCCCTTACCCCGGACACAGAATCAGGGGAAGGATCAAGCAGTAAGTGCTGTAAACATGTAAACATTTATTTTTAACAGAACTTGCATATTTTAAATATTAACAATAGCTAAAGTGCTTTCAAACATGTAAACATTTATTTATAACAGAACAGGAACATTTAAAATATTAACAATGGGTAAAGTGCTTCAAAACATGTAAAGAGTAAAGTGCAACAAAATGGGAATCTGAAGAAAGGGTATCATGATTAGTCTGTCTTTGGGCGCTTCAATATATAGTCCGAACTATTTTAAAAAAATTTCACAATGTCCGCTTCATGATTATACTGCCCAAGACGCTCCACTCTTTTGTCCCTCCGAGGGCACCTAACCCAAAAACTGGTCGATGTGTCCTGGGATAGAGGCGAAATCCTCCTGGGAGAACTCCTCATAGGCCTCCTGCAGGTGTCTTTCCAGCCTAACTATCAGGTTCCTGGGCAGGGAGAGCTTATTAGGCCCCCCGTGGTATGACACGTTTCCATGCCACAACGCCAGCAGGTATTCGGGGATCATGGCCTTGCAGAGCATAGCAGCAAATGGCCCCGGTTTCTGCAGGCTGTCCCGAAGCATCTTCTCCTTCTGGCTCTCCGAGACCCTCAGGAGGGTGATGTCTGGCATGACGCCCTGCTTTGAATTAGGTAGGGGACAGTTAGTATTGGGACTGCTTGCCCGTTCCTTTACAGAACTGCAACCGCCGGTTTACAGCCACGCAGTTTACAGCCGCGAGGGGGTGGGACAGGGACAGAGTTCATGCTTGCAGGATTGCTGCCAGCAGAGACTCGCATTGCTTTCTATGTGAAAGGAGGCCAGTGCCACTCTTAAAGTTTTAAGCAGCCACAAGTCTACGGCTTACCATGTTTGCCAGCTAGACAAAGTCCGGTGTCCTGCCCCGCTCCTCAGCTCGCCACAGCAAGACCGCAGGCACTGTAGGCGAGGGCCGAAAATTCGACCTTGTCCTCAGTGCGCGTGTGATAGGTGCTCTGCATGGTCTTGTTCACAGAGAAAGACTATGTTCTCTGTTCACAGATACATTGCTCTGTCTCAGGAATTCACTCCCTTTTTCCAATTCCCACAGCCACATCTGCCCAGAGGCTAGCGCACATTAGGAGGAGGAAGAAGAGGACACGGGAAGACATGTTTGCTGAACTAATGGGATGCTCCCGAGCCCAGGCAGCCCAGCAGACACAGTGGAGGGAGAACTTGTCACTAATGCACCGAGCAGTCATGGAACGGGAGGAGAGGTGGCGACAGGAGGACTAGCAGGCGACTCAAACGCTGCTTGGACTAATGAGGGAGCAAACGGACACGCTCCGCCGCCTTGTGGATTTTCTGCAGGACCGGAGACAGGAGGAGAGAGCCCCGCTGCAGTCTCTCTCTAACCGCCCTCCCCCGCCACCAAGTTCCACACCCCCCTCACCCAAAGTCCAAAGAAGGAGGGGCGGCGAGGGCCGTTAAAACTTTCACTCCACCCCTGCAGACTGCTCTAGCACTAGAATGCTCTCATTCCCCAAAATTTGAAAAGTCCTTTCCTACCCACCTCACACAAGCCCCCGTGCAAGTTTCACCCCCCACGTTTAATGTGTGGTTCATAATAAAAGATTTGTTCCTGATCATTACTGTTTCCATCCTGTTCTTTTGGAGGAGAGTCTGTCTGAAGGGGGGGGAGGGGCTTGGTAATTGGACAGGACAGTCACCTTTAGCAGGGTACAGAGGCGGGGTCAGGTCCAGCATCAGGACACATACACAGTGCAGTCACTGGTTACCCTGGTCAGTCTTGGAGGTGGTTTTCATGTTCTGGGCTGGGGGGGTTGCTCTGTGACTTTGTGGCGGGGGAGGGCAGTTACAGATCTTATGCAGCGGTCCTTATCCTGGCTCACAGATCCACGCAGCAGGGGATCTGTAACCCTACTCCCCCTGCCAGAAAGTCACATAGCCGACACATACACGCAGTCCCCCCCAGGAGTGCTGGCAGGCTCCATTGAAATAACCAGTGCACCAGTGCGGAGCCTGTCATTCCGGGAGTTTAGAAGCATCATTTGCATCAGAACACTAAACCCGCCCCCCGCCACAGTCTGCGTCCCCGGTTTAAAACAGTCCCGCGAAAACAGCAATACAGACAACGGTGTTCATTAACAAAATAGAACTGATTTTATTTTTTGGGAAGGGGAAGGGGGTGAAGGGGGTATGTAACTGGAGAGGATAGTCAAAATGAACTGGGTAAAGAAACGGGGGCAGGTTCAGCTTTTCTGTACACAAACTGAAAAGTCACAGGTTGCCCTGCTCACTCAGGAACCTAGCTTTCAAAGCCTCCCGGATGCACAGGGCGTCCCGCTGGGATCTTCTAATCGCCCGGCTGTCTGGCTGGGCGTAATCAGCAGCCAGGCTATTTGCCTCAACCTCCCACCCCGCCATAAAGGTCTCCCCCTTGCTCTCACAGAGATTGTGGAGCACACAGCAAACTGCTATAATGATGGGGATATTGGTTTCGCTGAGATCACAGCGAGTCAGTAAGCTTCTCCATCTCCCTTTGAGACGGCCAAAAGCACACTCCACCACCATTCTGCACTTGCTCAGACGGTAGTTGAACAGTTCTTTTTCTGTGTCCAGGGCGCCAGTATAGGGCTTCATGAGCCAGGGCATTAGCGGGTAGGCTGGGTCCCCGAGGATCACTGTAGGCATCTCCACATCCCCAAGTTATTTTGTGGTCCGGGAAGTAAATACCTTCCTGCAGCCGTCTAAACAGACCAGAGTTCCTGAAAACCCGAGCGTCATGAACCTTGCCCGGCCATCCGACGTTGATGTTGGTAAAACGTCCCCTGTGGTCCACCAGTGCTTGCAGCACCATTGAAAAGTACCCCTTTCTGTTGATGTACTGGCTGGCCTGGTGGCCCGGTCCCAGGATAGGGATGTGAGTCCCATCTATAGCCCCACCGCAGTTTGGGAATCCCATCGCGGCGAAGCCATCTATGATGGCCTGCGCGTTTCCCAGGGTCACTACCTTTGACAGCAGTACCTTCACGATTGCCTTGGCTACTTGCAGGACAACAACCCCCACGGTAGATTTGCCCACGCCAAAGTGGTTCGCGACTGACCGGTAGCTGTCCGGCGTTGCAAGCTTCCAGAGGGCTATGGCCACTCGCTTCTGGACAGTCAGGGCTGCTCGCATGCGGGTGTCCTTGCGCTTCAGGGCAGGGGACAGCAACTCACAAAGTTCCAGGAAAGTCCCCTTCCGCATGCGAAAGTTTCGCAGCCACTGGGATTCATCCCAGACCTGAAGCACTATGCGGTCCCACCAGTCCGTGCTTGTTTCCCGGGCCCAGAATCGCCGTTCAACAAAATCCACATGCCCCATTGCCACCGTGATGTCCTGGGCGCTGGGGCTCGTGGTTTCTGACAGCTCTGTGCTACTCTCCGACTTCAGGCCCTCACGGCGGTGCCGTAGCCTCCTCGCCTGATTTCTCTGCATCTGCCTCAGGGAAAGGTGTATGATAAGCTGCGAGGCGTTGAGAACGGCCACAACTGCAGCGATGGTCGCAGCGGGATCCATGATCGCAGTGCTGTGGTGTCCGCGCTGTCACTGATCAAAAAGTGCGCGAACTGATTTCCCGCCGGCGCTTTCAGGGAGGGAGGGAGGGCGGTAGTGACTGACGGATGACGACAGTTACTCAAAAGCACCCTCGCCACATTTTTTTACCCAGAAGGCATTGGCGGATCGACCCAGAATTCCAATGGGCAGCGAGGACTGCGGGAACTGTGGGATAGCTGCCCACAGTGCACTGCTTCCAATGTCGACGCTTTCCCTGGTAGTGTGGACTGACAAAGTCGAATTACTGTCCTTAGTGTGGACACACACGTTCGACTTTCTAATATCGATTGCAAATATTCGATTTAACTAAAACCGAACTACTCTCGTAGTGTAGACATACCCTAAGACCCAGGGTGGCCCAGATTTTCAGGTGCCCTACGCAGCCGCATATTCTGCGTATGCCAAAGGATGGCCCTGCCAGGGGGTCTGCAAGTCATGTCCAGGGCTACAGGTGTGACAACATGTATAGCAACCCTCCTGGGCATGCTCAGTTTGGGTGAGCATGCTCAGTACACCCAAAGTAGGGAATTGGGAGAAGGGGCTGTTTGTGTCGTTACAAGGAGATTGTGCATTTCCTAGCTAATTGCAAATCTATAGAGGAGCCTTAATCTTGCATGAACAAAGTTTATTGCATTTAATATCCCAAGTTTTAGTTTGTAAAGAAATGAGGAGGTGGGTGAAAAAAAGGCGGAAATTATAAAGAAAAGCGGGGAAATGAAAAAAAAAAAAAAAAAAAGATGACAGGCACTCGCTAGCGGTAGATTTAGCCATTGCAAAGTGAATAATTTTATACCCAAAAGACCTCATAAGAATTGAAGAAAATTTCATTCTTAAACAAGCAAATACATCTCTATAATATACACATCTCTAAGTGTGCTGTATCATTATCTCAAAGGTTTGACCAGCTGATTCAATTAAAAACTGCCTTAGTTCATATGCATGCTTACTGAATTCCAAATGAATTTATGCATGTCGGATGAAATTCACCCCAGTGCATGGGCAAGAACAAAGTCTAGGCCTCACTTATGTTATATTTTGAGGGCATAAGTGGGGCCTGGTGCTGTCGTTCTGTACAGGGTGAATTACCCTGCAGTGCATGTATGCATACACAGCATACGGTAAGTATGCAACTAAAATCGAAGATCCAGACCCTGTGAGATCCTGAGCCCCACCTGCCACGTGTGAAGATCCAGTGATTTTTGTTGGGATTGGGCCCAATAGTACCAGGTTAATAATGTTGAAAATATTCAGCAGCAGTTAATTCAGAGCAGCCCTGCCCTCAAAGTAAGCTTTTTCTCTTTCAATTCTATTTGTGAATGGCTTAGTTTTTATGTTTAGATCCTCCAAATGTTGACAAGGCTCTTCTGGAAAAGCTGATGAAGGAGCCTGTGATAGTCAAGGCAGGGCAGAATGCCATGGTCAAAATCCCATTCGAGGGCCGGAAGCCAGTCAGAGCAACATGGTTAAGGGACGGGGATGAGCTCCTGAATGATGCCAGGATCCATATCGACAAGGCGGACAACTTCACCCGGCTTTCCATCTCCAGCACCAACAGGAAGGACTGTGGGGATTACAAAGTGAAGCTGAAGAATGACAGTGGAACCTTGGAGGCCAGCCTAAAGCTGGAGGTGATAGGTGAGAGCCTCATGATATGAGTCCATCACTTTGGGCACAGAGGGAAGTCCTTGTAAGTTGTTTTTGGTATCCCTCTTCCTGACTCTCCAGAGAGACCTAGTTTAGGCACACACAGAAGCAGCTCTTCATTGGTGCTTTTACAGAACACTGCTCGTAAGAATATCTGAGAGCTGGCTGGGCTCACTCTTTCCCATCTCATCCACAATAAACTAAAAGGAGACAAGGTGCTGAGCTACTCCCGAAGTGCTGAATGCCTGCAGCTCCCATGGACTTTAATGAGATGTGAGCCACTTGGCACCTTCAGGAGTTGCTCAGTGACTTCCAGGCTCAAATGACAAAAGGATCCACATGGTTGTAAATCTACCAGTCCTATCCTTGCTCCTTTATTGGCTCACCACTGGCCTGTCTCCTGATTTACCTATGTGGGGTCTGAAACCTGAAAACCATGCTCAGCAGATCTGCACTGGTTTAGCTTCAACTGGAGTTCTCTGCAGCTGTGAAAAAGGGGCATGATTTGTTCCCAACTGAGCAACAGTTTGATGAGACCAGAAGTGTGGTCTGCTGGAGAAGGACAATGCTACATCACTTGACTTAGCTTTGTCATTCCTAGTAATTAACTGAAGATTAAAGACTTCCAGGTGAAGTAGCCAAATAAAGATAATCTCCCTCATTTTCCGAATTAAACAGTTTACTTCTGCATCCATCTTTTTGCACTGAAACACAGCCCCTTGAGAGCTGCAGGAATTTAATATAAAAATCAAATGAAGAACAAACATTTCTCCAAGAAGAAAAATACTAACTAAAGATGCAAACTAGCTCAAATGCACCTATAAAAGTCCAAATAATTATACTAGGGTAATAAATCAGTAAGATGATTAATCAGTTTTTCTCATATTCCTTCCCCTGTCCTTCTCCTCTGGTTTTGTGATCCTGGTTTGTACTGATCACTTGGCTCATTATAGAGTAAATTATTCTGCAAAAGCCATTTCCTTCTGAGCTGATAGAGCTCAATATCTGACTTGTACAACCTGCTCTATTGATCACGAAAGCAATTTAATGTTAAAGTTGTTGGGAATCTTGCCATTCTATTCACAATAATAATAGGCCCAAGTTAACTTCCCAGCTGCAATATGATGCCATATGGCATATCTGTGTAAGGTGGATGTGCACAAAAAGTGGAAGATTCCCAAACAAAGATGGAGAAACCCAAAATTCAGAATCGGGTTAGTTTCCCATTTAATCCATACCACCTACATTTAGGGTGGAGGAGAGGACTGTTGATTACCTGGTTCTGGGTTTCATCCATTTGTATTTGATTCAGAAATTGAACTCAACAAGGGTGTGTTTGGCTTTGGTTTGGAAGAGTCTCCATTGGGTTTTGGTTTTTTGCAAACCAAAAGTGGAAGTAAATTGGGTCCAGGTCTCATCTTGCCTGAACACCCCAGGTTTGGGGTGAGGTTGATAAATGGTTCCAGTATGGAACCATCAGTACTCCTAAAGGAGATGGGAAGTCAATGAGAGTTGCATCCAGGTCTGACTTTGATGCAGTATTCGTGGGAATGATCAGCTACAGCAGGCGTGGCCAAACCACGGCTCGTGAGCCACGTGGCTCTTTAAAAGTTAAAGTGTGCCTCGTGGTGCCCCCCATTCCTCCTCCTTTCTCAGCCTACCAGACTGGATGGGGCGAGAGCTCGGGGTGGTGGGACTAGGGGCTTCTGCCCTGAGGGGAGGGGGGTCTCGGGACTTTAGTCCCACGGGGCTGCACTGAGGCCAAAGCCCTGTGCCCCAGCAGGTGCCACTCTGCGGGGCAGGTTGTGTGTGTCTTGTGGCTCTAGAATTTCTGAAGATTATCGTATAGCTTGGAGGGTCAGTAAGTTTGACCATCCCGGAACTATAGGAAGGGCAGATTGGATGAGCCAAGTGTTTAGGGTGACCAGACAGCAAGTGTGAAAAATTGGGACAGAGGGTGGGGGGTAATAGGAGCCTATATAAGAAAAAAACCCAAATATCGGGACTGTCCCTATAAAATCGGGACATCTGGTCACCCTACAAGTGTTTTCCTCTTGCCCTACTCTCCTAGATCAGTAGATGAATGGATGTTTACTCAAGCAATCTTGCTAGCGTTAATTCTGCTGCTCTACCCTGTAAATACTATACCAACGGAGACTGAGTTGCCTATCTTGAGTAGCAAGAGATAGTGACCCCTCTGATATCAAGAACAGATGTGGGACCTTTTGCTCCCTGTTTTTCTCCTCCTTTCAGATAAGCCACAGAAACCCATCGGACCCATAGAGGTGGTGGATAGTTCCACAACTGGCATAACCATTCAATGGAAGCCCCCAAAGGATGATGGGGGCACACCAGTGCAGAACTACATCATAGAGAGGCAGCAGGTGGGCAGAAAAACCTGGGTAACATTGGGAGAAACCAGCAGGAACAACAGCACTTTCACGACCAACAAAGTGGGGCAAGACAAAAGCTATCGCTTCAGGGTGCGAGCAGTGAACGCTGAGGGAAAGAGCAAGGCGCTGGAATCAGATGAAGTGATGGCTGCAACCAAAGGTAAGAGGAAGAGCTTTGTGTAAACACATCTTATAGCCATGTGAGACTTCTATTATGAAAGCCAAAATCAAGTGAAACTCTCATTTTGGGTTTTGTTACAAATCTATACTTTCGTCCAGTTTGAACAGAAGGTTTGCAAGCCTGACTCAATTGTCAAGTGAATGTGAACATGGTGTCATATGAATCTGGGGCCAATTTAAGGTTTCAGGTCGAGACCACAAGTTTCTTGCGAGTTTTGGTGATTCCGAGTGAGATCTGCTTTGAGTTTTTTGGGTACAATCCAACCTAAACCTCGAAGCAACATCCACAGTGGAAACCATGCATGGACTGAAGCCAAAGAAAAGGTTCTCACATGTCACTGCAAAGAGAACCTGCTACGCTTTTACCTTAATTTACTCCATAGGTAAATGAATCTCCCAAGGGCCAAGGGGACATTAATTGATTGTGTCTATTCAGTAGTATCGTTTCATTTCCTTAAGTACAGAGCAGCCATTCTACTCTATAACCCCGCTGGTGGACCCAAGTACTAGAGACAGCTTTTGGCACAAACAAGAAAGTACAAGCAGGGAAAACATTTAATTCATTTTGCCTTAGAATCATAGAATATCAGGGTTGGAAGGGACCTCAGGAGGTCATCTAGTCCAACCCCCTGCTCAAAGCAGGACCGATCCCCAGACAGATTTTTGCCCCAAATCCCTAAATGCCCCCCTCAAGGATTAAACTCACAACCCTGGGTTTAGCAGGCCAATGCTCAAACCACTGAGCTATCCCTTCCCCCACAGCCTGCCTTCCTTCCTTCCTTCCTTCCTTCCTTCCTTCCTTCCTCACTCACATCCACCCCTGCTCCCGTCTCTCTGTCCTTCCTTTTTATTCACCCTTTTAATCACATTTTGAGCCAAGATACTTTTCAAACAATTTTTTGTATTAATGGCTGATTGTTTTGTCCCCTGAGAGTCTTTTCTAGCCGTAGTAGCTGATCCCCATATCTCCCAGCATTCTCAAGCACCACTGTGCTTTATTATAGCCCTTCAGCAAGCCACAGCCTGGAATGTTATTTATACAGTGTACAGTCAATAGTCCGCTTCCCCCACTTGCTTCTCGGGAACAGACAGGGTATTAGTAACACCCAGTCCTGCTTTTCTTCAGGCTCTCTACTCTTCTCCTTACCACTTCCTTCCTGTCTGCTTATATAGGTCCAGCTGCTGGGGTTACTTCCACCCAATTAGCCCTTCAGTTGTGTCTCTACTCAATAAATTGGCACCCTCTGTGAACGGCCTGACTTTCAATCAGGTCCCAGTTAATGTACTGATGGGGATTGGAGTGACAGGGTGTTGAGTCAGCTCCTGACTCAGCACACACTTTGTTACACCCTCCAATAATGGGTGGAGCAGAGGGAAGTAGAAGCCAATCAAGACTCCTGTTTCCACCCTCAGGAACAATAGAAGGAACAGTGGCTTTCCCTCCCTGCAAGAAGATTGGGCATATGCCTCCCTTTGGAGACTGTCAATGTCATCCTCAGCATTGGCAAGAGGGGCTCATTCATGAAAGACACATAATATCTTGACCCTTAGGAGTTTGGACATGCTCCCCCTCTAGGCTCCCAGCATGTAGCTGTCCTGGAGAGTAAAAGACTGAGTCATAGATCTCACATCTACGTTCAAAAGGTGTCTTATCTGAACACACATTTGGGAATCCTGGAAGAAACAACCCTTGAGAACCCATTCTTGTCACATGATGGAAAAGAAATACCTGTTAATAATGAAGGGCTAATCTTTTCCTAGCTTTCCCTGGCCCCCCTGCTCCTCCTCAGTTTGTCAGTGCCAACAAAGAGTCCATAACACTCTCCTGGGCAGCACCTCCCAAAACGGGCAATTCCAGAATCCTGGGGTATATCGTTGAGAAACGCAAGAAAGGCAGCAACATCTGGACACCTATCACTGACCTGCCAATAACAGGTAAGTAGCTGAAAGCCTGGAACAGGCTGAAAGACTCTAAGAAGGCAAGAAGACTAGATGGCTCAAGGCATAATGAGATGCTGACTCTTTCATCTCACTGGGTCACTGCTTCAAATATGGTTTAGATTGGTAGTGACCAAAAGTTTTTACTGTCTGATGGATGTTGGGTGACTTCTGTGTGGTGACACAAATCAGTGATCTCAGTCCAGCTCCTAGTTGCTAGTACAAAAATCACAATTGGCACCATTGTTGGGTATCTCAATGCCAAAATATTGAATGAACCACTGCGGTGGGACTCTCTTCTTGCCTCCAGAGGTGGCTCCTTTCCAGGTTGTGAATAAAAATATGCTGCAGAAGAATGGAGAAATTTGCATTGTTGCTGTCTGGCTGTGCTGTTCTGTGCATAAACTGAGGGCCAGCAATCTGGCACCTTGCACTTTAGTTGTGGAAGTGCTTCCTTAGCTTATGGAGCTGGGAACTGGGCATACGGGGGGACATTCCAGGGACAAGGAAGGTAAGGAGATGGAACTGATATCTCTGAAGGCTTCAAAATCGTGTTCACCTATAGATGTCAATGATCTTTTCAGATCCACCAAAGATCTTCTTATCTTCTGTATTAGAAGGGCTGCCATTGCGAGGAAAGCATTATTTACTCTTTCTCTGACTTCCTCAGTATCTCAAATGGCATTTAATTTGAAAGGGAGGAAGGAATACAATGGGAGAGACTTGTGCTAATGGTGGGGAAGGACAGGAGAAAAAGGGACAGCATTTGGGTACTCCATATGTGTTCCACTAGGCAGGTATACTGTGCAATTCCATGTGGTATAATTAATGTATAGAACTATTGTCCCAATATATCCTACTGAGGGGACTGCAGATCTGAGCCTGAGCACACTGAGGAAGCTTATCTTTTCCTTCCACAGACAGGAAGTGGATGGTGACAGATCTGAAGGAGGGACTGCAGTATGAATTCCGCGTGGCTGCTGTCAATGCCGCAGGGGCAGGCGAGGCCAGTGCACCATCAGATGCTGTCTTTGCTCGAGATCCCATGAGTAAGTGGGTTGTCCACTTGTCCCATTGGGTGTGGGTTGCAGAGAGAGGGGTAACTGGCCAAGAAGGTGAATCTGAGGAAGTATGTGAATCCAGGAAGCAATGTGTATACAAGATGCTCCCTGACTTACGCAAGCGTAACTCAAATTTTGCGTAAGATCGGAAACGCATCTCCGACCATTACGCCAAAAAAAAAAAAACCCCTCCTATTTCTAGCTTACGGAACTTTTTCCGTAAGCTCGGATTTGCGTACATCGGGTTTACGTAACTCAGGGAGCGTCTGTAAAGTATGTGTGGGAGAATAAAATACTTGAATAATATTAAAAAATAAGGAATTCACTGTAGGGAGTGGGGTGGTATTCTCAATATGCTGGGGAGGAGGATGTGGGGCTGGCCCCTCAACGTGCTGCAGGGGTTGGGGGTGAGATTCCCCTGCGCTGCATGGAACATGGAGTGGGCTTCCCAGTGTGTTGCAGAGGGGATGGGAGCAGGATTCCCAGTACAATTCAGAGGGATGGGGACAGACTCCCAGTACACTGCAGGGAGCCTGACTGAATGGATACCCAGTGCAAGCATGTTGGGGATGGATTATCCAGTGCACTGAATAAGGGGTGGGGGCAGGAATCCTAAGACGAGGAAGTCTAAATAAACTTTCCCTTTCCAGAGCCTCCTGGTAGAGTGAGGGACCTTAAGGTGACCAATACTGACTACACCAGCATCACTCTGTTTTGGATGAAACCTGATTCAAAGGAAGGGGGGTCTGCCAAGGGCTACAAGGTGGAGAAGCGATCCTCTGACAGCCTCAAGTGGACCCATTGTAACACTGTCCCCATAGGCTTGACAACCTGTACAGTTAAAGGTCTGCAAGCCAGAGAGATGTACTTCCTCCGCGTGAGGGCCATCAATGAGGGAGGCCTAGGGGAAGCCGTAGCACTGGACACTTGCATCCAGGCCGCGCCTCCCATTGGTGAGTCAAAATGTGCTGCCCCTGAAAAGATGTCATAGGCCTGCAGGTACAAATCATGGGCTCTCCATCCAAAGGCAGCTTTGACTGTTGGAGATTCAAATTGAACCTTGAGCTGGGGCCAGTCAATCTGTGGATTGTGGGGTACGGGAGCCTGTCGTAGATGATTATCTCAGGCTGTGGCGGCGGACACAGATAATTTCGCTCCTATATTCCTTATTGAATCAGGAAAATTGAGGGTTCCATTTGAGATGACCACAGCTCATGCTGGAGGCTCACTGTGATTCTAGCATCTCAAATATTATCCCTTTTCAGATACTATGGGTACGTCTGTAGTAGAAATTCTACAGCAGCACAGATGCAGCACTACATCTGCACCGCCGCAGTGTAGATGACAGCGACGGAAGGGGTTCTCCCATTGCTGTAGTAAACCAATCTCTCCGAGAGGCGGACAGAAGAATTCTCCCATTGACCTAGTAGTGTCTACACCCGGGCTTATGTTGGCTTAATTACATTGCACAGGCTGTGACATTTTTCACCTTGTGTTCAGCATTGGTCTAATGTATTACGGAGGTTTTTCACCTTTATCTGAGGCATCAACCATTGGCCCCTGCCAAAGCAGGGAAATCAGATCAGATGGACCAGTGACATGATCTCATATGCCAGATCCCATGTTCATTCCAGTTTTTAGCCTGGCGCTGGGAAACTTTCAATAAAAGGGTCACATTTTTTGTAACGTCCTTACCAGTCAGCCAGCTATAGGCGGCACTTTCAGTTGTCTGTCATTAAGAGGCTGGATCTGCCATACACTCAGAGCCTTTAAAAGAAAAAATCCCCAGACAAATGGAAAAGTTTTATATATATTTTTAATGAGGGAGCATGATCCGGTCCAGGACACTGAGCTGGGAGCCAGAAGAGCTGGGCTTTTTTTCCATCTGTGCCATTGACCTGCTGTAAATCATTTCAGTTCTTTGTGCCTCTCTTTCCCCTCCTACCCTTTGTCTGACTTGTCTAGACAGCAAGCTCTTAGGGGCAGGGTCTATATGTATGTGCAGCACCTAGCACAATGAAGCCCCGGTCTCAGTTGTACCTCCACAATATAAACAAAAAATGGGAAAATAATGGCCCAGATAAAAGGGGAGGTGAGGGGTTTCACTCTTGAAATAATGGACTAAAGCTCTTCAAAATGATTCTGTGACTCAGCCCCTGTGCCACACACTAGGAGATAGGGGAAAAGTGGGTCTATACTTGAGTAGCTATTTCTCTCCTTCCTGCTGCAGAGACAGCAATGGGGTTTCATGCTCAGGAGGGCAGCAAACAATATAAACAGTGAATTTTACTCATTTTCTGTTCATAAATTATCGGCAAACTGGCTTTGATTTTGTATGAACTTGTTTGCTGTTTGAAATGATTCAACAATGGTTTCTGTGAACATGCTTCAGCCCACGGGTCACTCAGAACTTGCTTGCTGTGGCTGTCACTTTGACTATTCACTGTTTCTAATACACTATTTGCAGTGTGTTGTTGGACATCCAGGTTGCATGATATTGTTTTAGCTGACTGGATGACTCCCAAGCCCTCAAAGAGCTGTCCAGATGAATACTGAAGTCAATGCTTTTGTGAACAGACATAGGAACAAGTGTTCACAACACTTTCCTTTTCCACAAACATTACTGTGAACAAAAGTTCATTTGCATGATTGTGAAAAGTGAGTCAGAGGGGCCACAGGTGCTGTTGAGGAGATTTCATGGTTTCTATTCAAACAAACATTTGTGAATACCTTTTTTGCAGTATTTCCCTCTTAAGTCATCAACACTATATAAATACAGAAAGATGATGCTCAGCGAGTGCTCTGGCACTTTTTCACTCAGTGAAAGAGCTCCATTGACATAATGCTGCCAGAGATACGTCAGGCAGCCAGCAGGAGGAGAGAACTTTAGAACACTGGACATGCTATTTTGAGTGTACGTGAGTTAAAATCTGTCAGCGACTTTGTAACAAGATTCAGCTTTTAATTGTGTTCACTATTTTTTGCATTCCAGTTAGTCCCAAGTTCCTAAGAGATGACACTATGAAAAACTTTATGATTATAAAAGCGGGAAGTTGTATCCGAATGCACATGCCCTTTGAAGTAAGCATTGAAGCATGTTTGTAAGATGTCCTCCATACGATTCCATGTTGTAAAAATAACTACAATAACTGCGGTTCTGTTCTTCATTCTGCTGCAGAATTTTCACATGATCTTGGGCAAGTCATCTAATTGGTTTACACCTCATATACATTCCCCATTTGTACAATCAGGATAGTAATGGTTCCCTTCATGGGGGAGGGGAGTTGTGAAGTTCAGATAATTCATTAAGGTGTGTAAAGTAAAACACTTTAGATCCTTGATGACGGAAGGCACCAAAAAGTGTAAAATATTAGCACCAGCTTCTCAGATTTTGATGTGTCAACTAATCACTCCCCCCACCCCGCCCCTTGTGAGGACTGAAGGTAGGAGAATTCATAGAATATCAGGGTTGGAAGGGACCTCAGGAGGTCATCTAGTCCAACCCCCTGCTCAAAGCAGGACTAATCCCCAGACAGATTTTTACCTGAGTTCCCTAAATGGCCCCCTCAAGGATTGAACTCACAACCCGGGGTTTAGGAGGCCAATGCTCAAACCACTGAGCTACCCTTCCCCCCATAGTACTTGGATGAACATACTCCCCCAGGGCAATTGACAGTGCCCTGCTGAGTATGTTCATCCAACTAAACAGCAAGAGGAGTGGTGCACCTTGGTTGTATCACGTGAAAGGCACAGGTTTGATTCCAAGATCAAGCCTCTGACTCTTGCAGGTTGGCAAAGGCTGGGAGCACTATGGGTGAGATCTGGTGTTTGGTCCCTACTGAAGAGAAGGGGAGCAAACCTTCTGGCTGATCTCAAGGTGGCATTGATGAGCTCTACAGGGAGCTGCATCCAGCTCACCTAGGCTGAAAGAAAGTCACTGCAATGTGACATCAGGAGGGAAGGGGACCAGAAGGAAAAATGGAACGATCACCCAGACAGGAGTCTTCTTCCCTCCAAAAAGCAGCAGATGCTTTTAATAGGGCTACTCTTGCCTATCTGTCAACTACAACTTGTGAACTAATAAATATTTTCTGACTTAATTATACTGAAACAGTTTAGGGCAACACACCCTTTGTTGGCCATGGTTCCAGGGGCAAAGAAACAAGTTAGAGCTAAGGAAACATTTGAGGACAAAGCAAGGAAGCTACCACAGGATACACATACAAAGGAAAAGCAGATTGACTTATAACTGGTGTTTATCTTTAATAGGCATCCCCAACTCCAGAGGTGATTTGGCTAAAGGATGGGCTTCCTCTACCCAGCAGGGCCATAGTGAGCACCAGAGATGGCCTCAGCCAACTCTTGATTCCATCAGCTGAGTTTTCTGACAGTGGGCTCTATACCATCATACTTCAAAACCACTGGGGGAAAAAAGAATCCTTCAGCTTCCAAGTGCAAGTTGCAGGTAACATGCATAGCAGGTTTGGTGGAGAATAACATGCTAAGAGAGAGGATCCAGTCCATGACTGAGTAGAGGACTGTGAGTTTTGATGGGGTTAAGCACTGTGGACAAGGAAAGGGCTAGGTAATACAGTCTTTCATGAGATGACAGTCCAAAGACCAGGTGCTATAGTCTAGGCAGGTCTACAGAATACTGTCATCCATTGATTACATTACAATCCAAGACTCAGCCAGGTACCACCAACAGAGAGACAGCTGTATTCTCTGAGAGGACTAGGGTAGTACAAGCTATCAGAGGGCCAACTTATACAGTCCATAACACAGCCAGGTGTCTCAGTCCATGACAGGGCTCTGTGAATGTCAGTTAGCAAATGGAACAAAGTATCCGTGTCCAACCATAAGAACTCTATAGCCCTCTCAGCTCCTTCACTAACAGTTTATAAAAACACAGCTGTATCAGCTATCCAATAGAAGGGAAAGAGATGTGTCACTATTGCCAGTCCAGTTAATGCTGAATTTCCCTTAATCCAAATGGGAGGACCTGTATATTTGGAGCAAAGGAATCAGAGGTCATTTCCCACTAATGACCATCAAGTTTAGCTGGCCACAATGCTCAAAATATCTGACCTCCATGAAGTTTATGGGGTTGCAGAATTGTTATAATATCTTAAACTTACCACTTTCTCTACTCCCTCCATACTATTTGTCTTCACTTTGCAGATATCCCACAGTCCCCCGGCCCTATTCTTCTGCAAGAGAAAGTCCTTAATACGGTGACAGTGATCTGGGAGCCCTCGCCGACAGAGAAGTGGGAAAGTAACCTGTACTATGTGGTCATGAAATGTGACTCCAACAAGGGCTCATGGCAAGTGGTGGGTGACCTGATCTACACCAACAAGTTTACCATCACCAAACTTATCCCTGGCCGGGGGTATTACTTTAGAGTTGTGGCCAAAAATTACATGGGAACCAGTGATCCATCTGAAACTGCGCAGCCCTGGATCATGCAAAAGGAAAAGGGTAAAAAGGCATTTTAAAAAATCTATCAGTGCACCTGTGTTGTTGGGTCTCAGTCAAACTATCCCATTAATAAATCCTTGTCAGTGTGTCCCAGTCCCCATATGTATGCTGTCTGCTCAGATGAGAGCCCACTGAGATATCCCCAAGAAATACTGTTGGGCAAGGAAAGATGTCCCCTGCCGGACATGAATGTTTACAGATCAGTGGGAACAGTGAAGCTGGGCTTCTCCATTCCTACCAATATACCGGCTCATATTACTCATATGGGTAAGAGCTGCCAAGAGAATTAATTCCTAGCAAACTCTGAAATTAGATGAATTCTACAGAAGCCAAGGGGTGTGTCCTCAATGGTGAGGACTTGGCAATTTTAAGAAGGAGCCACAGAATCCAACCTGCAGGAGTTGAGGACCCCACCCCATTTGGGAAGGACCAGGTGACCTGCAGGAGCTAGACTGGTACTGTGTAATCCTCATGATCTGTAGAAGGAGCCATGGCCTTGTCCATATACCAAAGACCTAATGATCCCCTCCAGATTCCTGACTGGGACTTTGGAAAACTTAAGAGGAAACTACCCCTAGAGAATACAGCTCAGGCTTTATATTGAGCCTATTGCATTCTAGGAGAGGACTTTTGGTTGCCACAGACTGGATCAACAAAGCTTTTAGTTCTGTCCCCTTTTATTGAGTCTCAATGCTTGGATTAAAGGAACTCCCAGTAACAGTAACTGGGGTCATAATACAGCAGAGAGAGCCAGGGCCCTACACATATGACCACTGCATGGCAACTCACAGAAGGAGCCATGAACCCTGACCTAGGGAGCCAGGCCCTGCCAATTTTGAAGGGTGGATGCCAAATGCAATTATTAAGTGCGATGGGTGGAGGCTGCTTCTGCACCCAACCTTTAGTCCCCTGGAGCAGTTGCTGAGTGTGTATTTGTCTCTTATAGATGAGTTTAAAGTCAGACTACCCAAATACAGGAGGGTGAATCAAAATATGCCCCCAAGATTCCTCGTCCAATTGAAGCCCCACGTAGTGACCACAGCATATGATTGTCACATGAGCTGTGCAGTGAGTGGCTACCCAAAACCTAAGATCACCTGGTACAAGGATGGCAGGAATCTCTCAGAAGACCCCACCTTCTTCAGCACAAATGACTTTGGTGTCTGCTGCCTGGTGATCCCAGGTGTCACGAAGAGAGATGAAGGAGAGTACAAGGTGGAAGCCACCAATGAATTGGGCCATGCGGTCAGCAAAGCCATGCTTATCATAAAAGGTAAAGTGACCTTGGTCAAGTCTCTTAGTCTCTGTGCCTCAGTCTGCATCTGTCAAATTGGAGATAATGCCTCACAGAGAGGTTGTGAGGATAAACACACTACAGATTGGGAAGCGCTCCGATACTGTGGCGATGGGGCAAATTTGGAATCTATTGAAGGATGGTCCGTATTCAGATGGGAGACTCCAAGAAAAAACAAGGTGCCACAGGGAGCAGAGTGGTGGGCTCAGTAGGGGGCACACTCAGTCTGTGCTGATCCCAATGCCCCAGTGCTGTGCTAGAGGGCCTGTGATGCTGGAGATGCAGCCATCAGATGAGAGATAAAACCAAGGTCCTGGCTGCTCATGGTTATTAGAGATCCCAGGGCCCTTATTGGGTGTAATGCGTGGGTGCTGGTAGCAGGCTGTGATATGCCAGAGGTCAGACTAGATGATCTGGTGGTCCCTTCTGACTCTATGGATGGCTCCTGGCACATCATCTTCTGTGCACCACCCATGTGTGTGTGATGTAAGATAGCATTTCATTGCCACCAGGGCATCTTGCAAATGGCTACCATGGGGCATTATTTGCCAGTTCAATACAACTTTATATTAGGTAGTGTTTACCCAGAGTGCTTTACTGAGTTCAATAATACATCTACAAAGACCAAGAGTGACACAGAGAAATAGAAATTAAGAAGCAGAGGAGAGGAGAGGAGAGAGGCTTTCAGCTGAGACTGGAAAATAGATGGAGATTCATAGATTTCAAGGCTAGAAATGGCCATCATGATTAGCTAATCTGATCTCCCGCATAACACAGGTCATTACACAGCCAGTGTTGCCTGTATCGAGCCCATAACTTCTGGCTGGGCTAGAGCATATCTTTTTAGAAAGAGACATCTAGTGTTGATCTAATGAGGTAGAGTCACAAAGTAGTTCTGCCAGATGGCAGAAGCTGCAAGAGGGAAGACTCTTGCACCAGCCATAGTGAGATTGGCTGAAGCAATAGGGAGAAAGCTGGGGCTAGATGGACAAAGCAGATGAGAAGGTGAGCATAGAGAGGGAAGGACATGAGCTAGGCTGGAGTAAGTTCCTCAAGGGGATAATTCAGGATCCAGATCAGAAATGAAAGAAAGCCACTTGAGTTGTTTGAGATTGGGTGTGATGGGGCAGGGACAGGGCCGGCTCCAGGCACCAGCCCAGCAAGCTGGTGCTTGGGGCGGCCAAGGGAAGGGGCGGCACGTCGGGCTGTTCGGCAGCAGCAATTCGGCGGCGGGTCCCTCTCGGAGGGAAGCACCTGCTGCCGAATTCCCACCAAAGAAGAAAGCAGCGCGGTGGAGCTGCCGCCGGAGTGCCGCCGATCGCAATTGCGATTGCGGATTTTTTTTTTTTTTTGCCGCTTGGGGCAGCAAAAACCCTGGAGCCGGTCCTGGGCAGGGATTATGTACGGGTAGGAAAAGGAAGGCACCAGCATTCAGCACACATTACTCAGTTTCTAACTCAGTGCATTCAGGCAGAGCTCTTACTGAAATCAGTGACTAAAGAACGCATGAATAGACCTCAGGATCTGGCCTGCTGTGAATAATAGCTCATGGTACCATGACATGATTCAACAACTTACAACAGGCATGAAATTAATCCAAGTCATTCTTGCAGATTGGAAGAGCCAGGCATAAATTTAGGCCAGGTGCCCTGGTCACAGAACAGATTAGTCTCTCAAGAGACTCTTTATCTCCAGAAATCTCTAGAGAGACACTTTTGTTTTACTTCTGCAAAGCATATCAGCATCTCAGCCACGATATTTATACTCCACAAAATAAAATAAGAAACTTTTGAGGCTAGAGTGATCCTGGGGGAAATCATTGGATTTTCTACCTGCTTCTAACACTTATACAGCCTTTAGGTTACTTGCATCAGTCACAGAGAAATCCTGGGCTGGGAAAGCCTCCTAAGTTCCAATCTTGTCTGTATGGACAGACTGACCAATTCCTCTCTGGTGCAACTCCACTGATTTACAGCAGAGATTAAGTTGGCCTGCTGTTACTTTTCACTCAGCCACAGGTTTAAAGTACTAAAGTTGAATGAAGAAGATCAAATGTCAAGCGAGCCCTTGAGCATACCGTACCTGTATTCCCAGAACATAGTTTGGTTCTCACAGAGTCTCACAGGACTGAAGAACTGGAGATGAGAAGATCAATTAGGTCACAACTAGGCCATGCCCCTAGGGGCCAGTGCATGGGTGTTTTCTACAGTACATTCTCCAGGTAATTATAAATGCCCCAAGTAGATCTCCCACCACTTCTATTGGGAGACTGTGCCACAGCCTAACACAGCTTACTCATATTCAGCCTAAATGTTCCCTTTGTTGATTTCATCCTGTTACTTCTACTTACACTCCTTTGTGACACCCTAAGTAATGCCTCTTCCTCTTTGGGTATGTCTACACTGGGCTAGCTTTGATGGAGCTAGCTCACTAAAAATAGCAGTGAAGTGATGGTAGCACTCAGAGAAGCACAGGCTGGCTGCCCAAGTACAAACCTGTCCCAGAGCCTGGGTCTGTACATGAGCAGCTAGCCTGTGCCAGCAGCCAGGCTGTTGCAACTACGCTGCGATTTTCAGCGAGCTGGCTTGATCCCAGTTGAGAGGTACCAGAAAGAAGGCTGGAGAAGATCAAAGCTAGCTCGAGTATGCCTACGTGTGATCCAGTCACAGCTCCTGCTTGCAATGTAGACATACACTGAGGAGCTTGTACCTTCTAACCATCATGTTTCCCCTTAGTCATAGTTTAGCCAATCTATATGTATTGAGTTAAATTAATGCCTGGTGCAGTTCAACACACCTCAGTGAGATTACACCAGGGAAGAATTGGGCTCATTTGATAATGTAATCTTTCCTCATAAATCACTCCTTCCAGCCCCTTAACATTTTCGGTTGCTCTTCTCTGTATGCCTTCCAAACGGTCTCCATTCTAATATTGACAACCCTCATCATGTTATCTCTCACTTTTAGATCCCTCCTTCTAATGTGACCTGCCTGAGGACAGCTCTGCACAGCCATCCAAATGACAAAGCTTTTATGTAGAACTGACACAGTACCAAAAAGCTACAAATCTAGTTTTATAACCAGCTGACAGTCTCAGGTTGTCTCTTGTTTTCTGACCCGTTGGCTGTATCTTGAGCATTGTGCTGCATGTGTGTGGGAGAAAACAAAAGCTTTTAGAACAGCAAAATCTTTTCAGAATGGACGTATGATTCTGTACAACAGCCCTCCAAAGGGGGGAAAGATGGCCTTCCAAAGCAAGGAGAAACTTAAAGGACACAGAAGGTGAATGTGGAGGGAGAACTGTAGGTAGGTAGAGTTGGCCATGAGTGAACTTTCCATGGACACACACCACAGGCATGAGACATCATCCTGCAATGCCAAGAGGCTAATTCTACCTACTCATGAACCGTGGCTGAGAAATCTCTTGGAAGCAGAAACTTTGCTGGAAAAGCTCGTTGAAGCCGACCTGCTTGGATCTGGATTTCTGATCTCCTGTCTCACATGGTTCGGCATTGTTTTGTTCCCTTTGTTTTAAAATCTCCGAAGAACTGGGGAGCATGACTTTAAAGGTCGTGGTGGGGAGAAAAGGTGGCATGTTCCTGGGTCCTCAGAGGAAGGGCTTCCAGGCTGGTGGGAGTTGCCCAGTGAGATCTGTTCCTCCCTGAGGGGTCACATTGGTCCCACATTTGGCCTCTGGAGGGTTGAGGTACGAGAAAGAAGGCTGGAGGAGATCAGCAGATGCTTTTGATGCAAAGCAGCAAGGCTGGGACAGATTTCAAATTAGATTAACCCCAGTCATCCCATCCAGCATGGAAAAGAAGTCATTAAAACCAGGAGAAATATTGAGATTTTAATGCAATCCTTTGCCTCCTGACAAACATCTAAGATGTAGATAGATATTTGTTTTTAGCCTGGTGTGTAACAAGCTACACCAGGCTTCCAAAGGTCCCCATTCAGCTAACAGCAGTTTTGCATTTATCTCATTGTCAATAGAAGTTATATGTATTATGCTCTTTACCCTCCAGGCCGAAAACAATATCTGTCTATATAAAAACAAAACAGCCACAAAGTTGGCAGTCTCTCCAGGGGGTCTCTCCAGGGGATGCTGTATGTCAGCATTAAGGTGCACTGGCAGAGGTAAGTGGGAGACCAAGATTGGAGTAGCAAGGATCAAGGTACATGGGTAGAGCCGTGCTGCACTTCTCTGCACTATGCTCCTGTCCTCAGTGCTACTAACCAGGATGTAATATATTTAATCCAACAAATTAATGTTGAAAATATAATTTCTCCCTGGCTCCCACCATCTCTACACTACCTTTGATACAGTGCAGTTAGAGGGTTAAAACTTTGCATGAGAATACACCTGAGTCCATTGAGTTTGCACTGGTTGAATGGTTTGGTCATTGAAAGGGGGATGAAGAACTGAAAGCAACAGTTTCTGATGAAAGCACAGAGAGAAAGCATCATAGACTCTGTGCTAGAGCTGTTGCTGGGTGATGGATTCATAGGAAGCAGGGCCGAGCCAAGAATCAGAAACTGGTGGCCATTGGATCCTCAGACAGCCAGTCAAATGCTTGCATGGGAGCTCATGTTATTGAAGTGTTTCCCCTCCTGTTAGGGCTTTCCTTGATAATGTTTTGTGCTAACGATGTACAGAAATGGCACCAGTGGGTCAAGATGAAATTAAATAATAAAAACCACATTGAGTAAGTGGGATTCTCTCTTCAAAATAAAAATAGCAGCTAGCTCCTGAATGTTGATTTCACATACTCTACAACCACTTTTTTTGTGTATGAATTGCTACCTCCTCATTCTATCATACCTGCTGAGATTCTTGCCAAACCTTCATGGAATAACAGATCCATCTAGGTTTCTATAAGGTTGCCTATAACTGTAGTATCTGAGCACCTATGAGGCATTGGCAGAATTAGGGTTACCATACGTCCGGTTTTTCCCAGACATGTCCGGCTTTTTGGTAATCAAACCCCCGTCTGGGGGGAATTGCCAAAAAGCCGAACATGTCCAGGAAAAATACCGGCCAGGCACTTCCCCTCCCAGGCTCCAGCTGCTCTGCTCCTCCCCTGACTCTTTGGCTCTGTTTAAGAGCCGAGCTGCCCGAGCGCTCCGGCTTCGGGCAGCCCCCTTGCCTCCGGACCCTGCGCCGCCGGAGCAGAGCAGCTGGAGCCCGGGAGGCGAAGTGCCCGGCCGGCGGCTTGGGGTCCGGAGGCAAGGGGGCTGCCCGAAGCCGGAGCGCTCGGGCAGCTCGGCTCTTAAACAGAGCCGAAGAGTCAGGGGAGGAGCACAGCAGCCGGATCCCGGGAGGGGAAGTGCCCAGCCGGGGGCGCAGGGTCCGGAGGCATGGGGGCTGCCCGAAGCCCGAGCGCTACCGGCTTCACGGTTTGCTGGGCAGCCTCCAGACCCTGCGCCCCTGGCTGGGCGCGTCCCCTCCCGGGCTCCAGCTGCGCTGGGGAAGCGCCAGCCGAGGGCGCAGGGTCTGGAGGCTGCCTGGCAAACCGTGAAGCCAGTAGCGCTCGGGTAGCCCTTTTCGCGTGGCTGGGAGGGAGGAGGGGGAGTTAGGGCGGGGACTTTGGAGAAGGGGCGGGGAAGGGGCAGAGTTGGGGCGGGGAAGGGGCGGAGTTGGGGCAGGGCTGGGGGTGGGGAAGGGGCGGGGGCGGGGCCCGGGCCCGTGGAGTGTCCTCTTTTTTTATTTTTTAAATATGGTAACCCTAGGCAGAATGATGGATTGGAAAGTCTAATTTACATATGCTTATACAAAGTAGATACAGAGAAAATATAAGGGATACATACCCTTATGCTTCAAGACATAAACCAGCCACCAACTGATGCAGTCAGGAAGAAATGTCCCCTATAGGCATGTTATTCCATGTTTCTCCACTATGGAAATTCTTGTACCTTTCTTTGAAGTGGCTGGTACTAGCCACTGTCAGAGACAAAATATTGGATTAGGAGAGCCTCATATCTGATCCAGTCTGCCAATCCCTAAATTCCTGTATTTGTCCTTCTCATAGACAGAGAACTGAGAGATCATTATAATGGTCTCCCAACTGCCGTCATGGTTTCTTCTTTGCCGTGGGAAGGACAGTCTGCTTGGGCTTGGTGCATGTCAGTTAAGCAGCCCCAGAGTTTATGCAACAGCACTTGTAAAAGTACTGATGGTTGAGGTATTCTGGTAAAATAAGGGTGGCTTAGAGGAGAACCTGTGAGATTCTAGCAGGTCTGACATCAAACAAAGTAAAAAACAACAACAATGAACCAGGTTGCAGTTCATAGAATATCAGGGTTAGAAGGGACCTCAGGAGGTCATCTAGTCCAACCCCCTGCTCAAAGCAGGGCCAATCCCCAGACATATTTTTGTCCCAGACCCCTAAATGGCCACCTCAAGGATTGAGCTCACAACCCTGGATTTAGCAGGCCAATGCTCAAATCACTGAGCTATTCCCCCCCAACTGCATGAAAAAGATTAGGCTGGAAATGTCTTTTAGCTCCATTAGCATTGACTCAGAAAATGCATTTACACACCCTAATATAAACACAAACGAAGTTCCCCTTCTCTCTTCAGGTGTAATCCTCGCAATTGATACCTAGTGACCAGAGAGAAAAAGGTCTCTCCTCTCTCACACACAATCTTTAATGTAATTAACCACACAACATCCCTGTGAGGCAGGGCAGTGCTATTATCCCCATTATACAGGTGGGAAACTGAGGCACAGAGAAGCTAAGTGACTTGCTCATGGTTATACAGGAAGTCTGTGGCAGAATAGGGACTTGAACCCAGGTCTCCAGCTAGTGTCCCAGTCACTGTGCCATCCTTGCTCTTTGGGACTGAGGTTCCCAAACTACCCTGGCTCCATCCTACGAAAACCTCAAACTTTTAGGGGATATGTTTGTACAAGCGCTTGGATCTATGTATTAAATACAGCAGGGTCCAAATGCACATTCTTTATAAGGCAATCATTGGCCCCTGCCTCCTCCAGCATGAGCAACACCTTCAGTGCTTCATTTCTTACATGAACAGAGCAGATGGGAGGAAAGCTTGGGCATGACCCTTTCCAGACCAGTGAACTGTAAAACAGGCTTAGTTCCCAGAGAAGCTTTTACATGCTCCTGAAGGATACTGAACTGTGTAATGCTAATACTCTGCACTTACATAGCACTGTTCATCTCCCCTGGACTTCAGAACATTTTGGAAAGGTGGGTATTAGTCTCATCTCCATTTCACAGAGGATGAAACTGAGAAGCGACTGGCCCAAATTCACACCGTGTCAGTAGCACAGATAGGACAGGAACCCAGGAATCCTGACTTTCAGACCTCTAATCTATTTCTTGGAACCACAATGTAATGCTCAGAAGTAATAATAATAAACACACTATTTCTGTCATTATCCAGTAGGAGTCTATAAAACTGGGATAAGATCCTACTGAACTTTCTTAATGAAACAGTCTCAGAGCTATGCATTATAAAGGTCTAATTAAAGCTCTAATTAAAGGGCTAAGTAATATTGCAGGTTAACTTTAAGGCAACTTTTGAAGACGATCCGTGAAGGGGAAAAATTGGCCTTTGATAAAAATTATCTCCATCTCCCTTCAATTAAAGTGTTAAGAGCTCATAATGAGCATCCTTCAGATCAAAACCAGATTTGAATGACCTGATGGCTTGTCTACATGAAATTTTTTTGTCAGTTTAAGTTAAGGTGTGATTTAAAAGGATTAGTTAAACTGGTTCAAATCCCTCACTGGGTGCTCTTATTTTTGTCTAAGAGCCGCTTATTTTGGTTTAGCTTGTTGCTTGGGAAGAGATTTAAATGAAACTGAAAAAAGTCAAAACTAATTTAAATTTAAATGGTGCGACTTCCCCAGGCACACAAGGCCTAATATTTCTAAGCTAAAATAACAAATTGGGAAAATATAAAACAAACTAAAGGTTTTAGGCTTGGCTGCTGGTGGGTGCTATGCACCTGCTAATTTTTTTCCATCGGCATCTGTGATTAGTGGAAATTGAGTTAGTGGATCTTGTGTTAGAGAACCCAGGGCTTGAGCATCTACACTGATTGTCAATCCTAGGTAAAGAATTTTCAAAGCTGGGCCTCTACTACCTATGTTGCAGATCTGAGTCCAGCCAACCATATCCCAGACTTCCTAGTGCCCTCTTGAAATGCACCCGCTCCAGTCCTTGGTTCATGGCACAGAGTGGGAAAACTTGACTATTCACCAGACTAGACTGTCCAGAGGACACAGATTGTTGGCCCATAGGATTATGGGATACTTTTGGTTAACTGCCACAGCACAAGTCCAGTAGGGTTGCATCTACACTGCAAAGCAATAAATAGACCTTGCACCTTGGGTTCTAGCTTGACTTGAGTTTGGCCCCTCTACCCCCTACAGGGTCCTGGAGCCCTGGGCCCAAGCCTTGGGTTAGTGTGATTTGTGTGTAGACTGGTAGGGGTGAAAGAAAGGTTAGACTTGAGCCTGAGTTCAAACCCCAGGCTGACACCGCAGTGTAGACACACCCTTAGAGTGCAAAGTTAAGCCCCTAGGGCTCTCACTTGCAGGATTGTAGGCCAGGTTTGCACTGCGTTAGAATTTGTACTGCAACCCAACCGGCCGTTGAAAATCTCACTCGTCCTTGGGTTTTTTTTGAAGTCGCTCATCAGTTTTGCCAATCGCACCCATCCTCCTGCAGCCTCCACCTGCCCTGCGCACACTGATTGCTACACGTCCCCCTCCCGCCCCTTATCCCTGTGGCCCTGTGCTATTGGCTGCTCTCAGTTTACCTGCCCCCCCGCTCCACTGCTAGGCTTTCCATTTTTCTCATTGGTTCAGGGCTCTACCTTGGAACCAATCACAATCCCTTTCACCTGCCCTAGTTTTCTGCCTGCTCTTTGGCGGAGGAGGAAAAAAGTTTGGCTTTCGGCTTCAACTTTTTAGTCAGCTCCGAGGAGGCCATTGAAGTGGGTAAAGCGGCTGTTTGGGGAGCCCGTTAAGACCCCCAAAGGATCGAGGAATTTATTGCAATGCAGTATTGCGCTTATTGCAACAGCTGGAGGCAATGCACCGATTGCATCAACTGCATTCTCTGTATGCCGTGCTGCTGTTGCAGTAGTTGCAAGCATGGCAGCCGGCAGTGATTGTATTAGCCGAGGGCAGTTCATGCTTTGTATTAGCTGCATTCCCATGCATTGCACTGCTTCGAAAACTTGCTCGCTTTGCAACCACTAATTGCATTTGTCGCATGCCTCGCACCAGCTGCATTCAGTGCACCAGTTGCGTGCCCCCCCCCCCCCGTTGCATTAATCTCTGCAGTTGGGTTAATTGCACGGGGGCAACATGACTGCCAAGCAGCGCAAAGCAGGCAGAGGGCGGACTGAGAACAATGCTGGGGCTCTCGTTGCTCCGGGCCGGACGGAAGAGAGGGAGGCCGGGGGTCCCAGGCACAGGGAAGCCTGGGCTTGGAGATGCCGAGCTGCGCTGGGGCTGCTGCTGCTCGGGGTGGCCGCCGCCGGGGTGGCTGTGCTGGGCTGGCTGCTCGTGCACCAGCTGGAGACGCTGGAGCAGCTGGGAGAGACTGTGGAGAAGCTGCGGGGCCGCCTTGAGGAGCTGGAAGTGCTGAAGGAGCAAGTGCAGAGGACGAGAGAGCAGGTAGCGGGGTGCTCTGGGGTGGGCCGGGCTCCGCAGCTCCGGCAGCGGGGGGCAATCATTGGCCCCTGCCTCCTCCAGCATGAGCAACACCTTCAGTGCTTCATTTCTTACATGAACAGAGCAGATGGGAGGAAAGCTTGGGCATGACCCTTTCCAGACCAGTGGGGGGGGGGGGGGTTTATATTAGGGTATCTGGGGGGGGGACTGTTGCGGGGGGGTCTCCAGTTCTCATGCATTGGCTGTTATTGGAGAGCTGCTAGGCGGGATTGCATTGCAGCTGCCTGCCCCGGGTGAGGGCTGGGATTGAGTGGGGGCACGGGGCAGAGAACAGTCTTGTTGGCTTTGGGGGGTGGGTTCCCTGCGACACCACAAGAAACTTTTCCAGGCTCTAGAGATCCACTAACTCTGCTGGGCAGGGGGGGCATGGAGTTGGCTCTCCCCAGCTGTAGTTTGCATTCTTCACCTCTGAGCCCCTTGTGTGTCCTCCTGGCCTGTTCTAAATCAATATCCTCTTCCATTTCTGCACTCTGGATTTCCTGTCTACACCCAATGGTCAGAGAAACGAGGAACAGCTGCTCCAGAGGCTCCCCCAGCTGTGTGCAGGATAAGGGAGGGAGGCTTGTGAAAGAAAGTAAGACTGTTGTTTTTGTTTCCAAAATCAGGGACATACTTGAGAATCATGATGAACGTGACACAGGTAGAATCCCCAAACTGCCCCCCCCCCAAATTCATAGCTATGTCTTCTCAAATTGTAGCTATCCATGGATTAGTGGGACAGGAACGCATATTGTGTGAGCTGAGTCACTAGGATGGTTTCTTCTCTTGACCTGCCTGCAGCAGGACACAATGGGTTAATAGAGCTGACTTCCATATTAGGGTGGAAATGAGCCCAGTCTGTGTATCAAGATCCTCTGTGGGTGAATTTATGGCATGAACAAAGGAACTCTGGCCTGGTTGTCAGTCTCTGTATTACAAGGCATAGGATGGACTGCCAGGTCCAGGGTGAGATGCACTGGGGCATAGGACTGGAAGGGTATCGGGTTGAGGGGAGCTGGCATTACTGTATGGAGGAAGACTGTTACTGGTTTTATCCAATTCTTGCTCTTGCAGGCATTGAAATTCATTTGTGGCTGTGTGCCTCTTGGGGCAGAGCTTCTACCCATCTGGGACACATTCTTCTCCTGGTTCTCCCTCTTGGGCAGTGCAGCTCCTCACAGTCCCTTGTTCTTGGCTCTGTAATCATGGTCCAGCCCTACATTCCTTCACTGAAATTACTGAGACCGCCACGTGTTTGAGGGCAGCAGAGTCTATTGCTGTTTGTTATCGAGTGCTTGGGCTACATGCATGTAAGGACGGGTGGTGTCTATATATGACACAAGCTTTAGACACATTTGGCGTATGCATCAGAAATTATTTCAAGTGCAGTGACTTAGGTCAGTGGTTCTCAACCAGGGGTAAGTGTACCTCTGGGGGTACTCGGAAGTTTTCCAGGGAGTACATCAACTCATCTAGATATTGGCCTAGTTTTACAACAGGCAACACAAAAAGCATTAGCGAAGTCAGTACAGACTAAAATTTCATAGACAATGATGTGTTTATTAGGGTTACCATATTTGAACATTCAAAAAAGAGAACACTCCACAGGGGGTGTCGGCCCCACCCACAGTCCACCCCCTTCCTCCCACGCTCCGCCCCCACTGCCCCAGGTCCCGCCCCCTACCGCTCGGCCCTGCCACCGCACCCCTCCTCACTCCCTGGCTCGCTGCTGGCTTGCTGCGTCACTCCTCAGTCCCCCACCCACCGCTCACCTCCTCCCACCTGCCACTCACCTCCTCGCTGCCCTGCCAGAAACCCCCATCCCACCCCGAGAACCCCCGCCTGCCATTGGCTCGCCGCTTCTTGCCTCCTCATCCCCGCCTGCCCACCCGCCGCTGGCTCGCTCGCCTCTTCAACGCCCACCGCTGGCCTTTTCAACCCCTCCCCCCCCCACTCACCCCTCGCCTACATAGGGTGACCAGATGTCCCGATTTTATAGGGACGGTGCTGATATTTGGGGCTTTTTCTTACATGGGTGCCTATTACCCCCCACCCTCTGTCCCGATTTTTCACACTTGCTATCTGGTCACCCTATACCTACTCAACCCCCGCTGCTCCCCGCTCGCCTCTTCACCCTCCCCGCTCGCCAACTCATCCCTCCTGCCACAGGTCCCTCTCGCTCCTAGGATCAGGGGCAGCCGAGGGGTCTCCACGTGCTGCGCCTGCCACAAGCGCACGGTCCGTGGCTCCCATTGGCCGGGAAAAGCGCCAATGGGAGCTGCCGGAGCGGGGTTTGCAGGCGCCGGCAGCGTGCAGAGAGCCCTCCGCGCCCCCCCCAACCTGACCCAACCGTAAGAGCCAGAGGACCTGCCGGGGGGGCGAGGTGGGGAGTGCCGGCGGCGCTTACCTGGGGCGGCTCCCAGGAAGCATCCGGCAGGTCCCTCTGGCTCCTAGGGTCGGGGGTGGGGGGGAGGGCTCTCTGCCTGCTGCCAGCGCCTGCGAGCTCCGCCCCCGCAGCTCTGATTGGGCAGGAGGGAGCCGGTGCAGCATGGGAGCTGCTCCTGGAAGTGCCGCCAGCCCTGGGTCTTTGGACTTGGGGTTACCATATGTCCGTATTTTCCCAGATGTTTTTAGATATTTTAAAAATTCCTCCCGGATGGCGATTTAAGAACTAAAAAGCCGGATACGTCCGGGAGAATACGGATGTATGGTAACCCTATGTTTATACTGCTCTGTGTACTGTACAATGTAAATACAGTATATCCCAATTGACTTATTTCATAATTATATGATAAAAATGAGAAAGTAAGCAATTTTTCAGTAACAGTGTGCTGTGACACTTGTATTTTTATGTTTGATTTTGTAAGTTTTTTAAGTGAGGTGAAACTTGGGGGATACACAAGACAAGTCAGACTCTTGATGGGGTACAGTAGTCTGGAAAGGTTGAGAACCACTGTCCTTGGTATTCATCTGCGGTGAATGCAGAGGTCTTTAAAATAGCCCTCAAAAGAGGGCTTACGTGTGACGGGTTGGATCACAGAAACCCCCTGGGAGCTGCTACCCGATGTGCCAAGACTATTACTACCCCTGCTTTCCCTGCCAGCTCAGAACTCCAGCACCCTGTCTTGCTGAGCCAGACACTCCCATCTGCTCCAACAAAGACCCAGGGTCTGAATTACTTGCCCCAACGCTGCAGGTTTACCTGAAAGCAGCTAACAGAAGTGTTCCTGTCTTTAACACTCAGATGCCCAACTCCCAATGGGGTCTAAACCCAAATAAATCCGTTTTACCCTGTATAAAGCTTATACAGGGTAAACTCATAAATTGTTCGCCCTCTATAACACTGATGGAGAGAGATGCACAGTTATTTGCTCCCCCAGGTATTCATACATACTCTGAGTTAATTAAGAAGTAAAAAGTGATTTTATTAAATACAGAAAGTAGGATTTAAGTGGTTCCAAGTAATAACAGACAGAACAAAGTAAATCACCAAGCAAAATAAAATAAAATGCGCAAATCTATGTCTAATCAAACTGAATACAGATAAGATCCTCACCAGTTCCAGAATGCTCCCTTTTACAGACTAATCTCCTTCTAACCTGGGTCCAGCAATCACTCACACCCCTTGCAGTCACTGTCCTTTGTTCCAATTTCTTTCAGGTATCCTGGGAGGGTGGAGAGGCTCTCTTTAGCCAGATGAAGACAAAATGGAGGGGTCTCCCAGGGGTTTAAATAGACTTTCTCTTGTGGGTGGAGACCCCCTACTCGCTCCTATGCAAAGTCCAGCTCCAAGATGGAGTTTAGGAGTCACCTGGGCAAGTCAAATGTTCATGCATGACTCAGTTTTTACAGGTAGCATCCATTGTTTACATGCTACCTTGAACGTCCTCAAGTAGACTTCTTATGTGGATTGGAGCATTCCAAGATCCATTGTCCTTAAGTGTTTCTTGATTTAGGTACTTAATTTCAACATTCCTTCTCCAGGAACTGACCAAATGCTCTAGTAAGGTTATTTAGAAATTAAGCCAGTACACAGTCAACATTCATAATGTTTATAACTTCGAATACAAGAATGATACATGCATACAAACTTGATTAATACATTCAGTAGATCATAACCTTTACGGAGATATGTTACATGGCATATGTAGCATAAAACACATTCTAAGCATATTTCCATAAAGCCTTATGGGAGGTACCGTCACAACGTGGTACCTAGGTATTGTCCCCACCCCCCAGCACAGGGGATGAGTTTCACCCTTGGTAGGCAGGCATTGACAGGCCAGTGGTCTGATTGAATAAGACCAGTCCTCTGCCCTGCTTTTGAAAGTGTCCAATGCCTTATGCTTCAGAGGACGGTGCTGGAGAAACCTGTTACTTGCTTTGTTGGTTGTGTTGGTGTTGAAGGGAGCTTTGTTGGCTACAAAATGAAGACCCAAATCCTCTCTCGACTTCCTGCTTGGATGTAGGCTACTGCTTTATAGTGGTTATGAGTATAATGTACTGACAGACTTTGCCGTTTTGGCTTCTTATCCTAGGAGTGATGTCTTCTCTCTTTAAAACCTCCCTTTCTGTAATGGGAAGGACTCCATTAGTGACTCAAGAACAGCCATGCAACTCCCTGGCCCCCGGCTATGAAGACTTTACAGGTTGCTGGCTAATGTATAAAGCACAAGCTAAAGACACGTTACTTTCTTAATGCTGCAACTTGAGTCCCAGAGGCCTATTCTCCTCTCTCCTTCCCCCCCCCCCCTTTTAAAAACACAGCATTTAGAGTTTGGTAGCACAAAGGGAGAGGTGGGATTAATTCCTTATATATTTTTTTTTTGTTTGTTTTTAATCCTGTTAGTGTATTGACAGTTGGTGGGAAATGGCAGCTGGGCTAGAGGGTCAGGAAGGAAGTGCTAGCTGTTGATCAGTAATGAGTCCCTTTGCTAAGCTTTAAGCAGAGTTGCTGAGTGAGC